ATTATATAATGGTGTTGATAATACTGATAATAATAAAAAAAGAAGATGTGGAAGAAGAAAGAAAAAAGGATATATTAGAGTACAGCGTAGGCTATTTTTACAGGAGACTATTACAGATAACAGAAGACCATACAAGACGATGTAATTGTTTCTAGAAGTTGAAAAGACTTTATACATAAAATACATTCTTTCAAATGTTTTCTTTTTTTTCTAAAGTCTTTCTCTGAATTTCTTTTTTGTTTTTACATTCTTTTACTCTCCTTTTTCTTCTTCCTCCTTCTCTGTGTCTCTGTGTGTGAGTTTGGGTATCTGTGCACATAAGTGGTTGATTTATATGTATGTATGTATATCTATACGTATATAAGAATGACTACCAGTTATTCTTTTTTTTTTTATTCTTTCCTTATGTATGTTGATATTCTCTTTCTATTCTATTTTCTAATGTGTGGAAACCACTAATTCACATTTTCTTCTTCTTTTCTCTTTTTTTTTCTCTCTCTGGTTTGTAATGATTGACCTCTGAGCTTTGGCAGCTAGTGGCGTAGTGAAGAGAAGGAGTGCCTCTGCAGCCAAGCAAGAAGAAGAAGAGCCCTAACACTACTTGCAAGATAGATACAGATATAAACGGAGAGAGAGAGAGAGAGAGAGAGTAAGAAAGAAAGAGAATATATATATATATATATATAGCACAAAAGAAAAAAAGGAGAAACGAACAGTACAATTATTTGACTGTTTCTTTGCTTGTTTTTTTTTTATTATTATTATTTATTTATTTATTGATCTAACTCTTTACTTTTCCTTTTCAACACTCACACATTATGGGTGCTGGAGTGCCACGTGGTATACAGTCGACTGGGCCTTTTTACACATATGATGGACAAACCGCATTGCACCCGCACCCTTCAATGGCCACCGGCGCCTCATCGCCGTGGATGATGAATCAACAACAACAACAACAACAACAACAACAGGGTCTCTTCTCACAAGGCTCATGGCCGCGATGGGCGAATGCCAATCAATTTAGACAACAGTTCCAACACTATCCATATCCATATCCACAGCAATCCTACACAGCCTCCACTATGGGAACACCACCACCAACAACAACAACACCAAGAGCCGCAACGGCCCCAGCACAAAGAGAAATACGGCATTCTTCTTCAACTCTATACACAGAACCACGAGCCGTGACTCCAACAAGAGGTGTTGGGGCAAATAGTCCTGTTCCCACTATGGCACATCAAACTTCTCATAGAAGAAGAAGAAGAGGAAAGAAGGATGGAAAACGATCGCATAGGTACTCTTCATCCTTATCTTCAACTTCGACGGTAATTTCTTCCTCTTTATCTGCGTCTTCCACGCGTAAACACTCACATCATTCTCGTAGACATGCACATCATCGTAGAAAGGGATCTCGTGGAGACAAAAATGCAAATTTTCGAGATGATCCTGAAAGAAAAAAGAGAAGTAAAAGTGGTAAAAGAGGTAGTGGGAGAAAAAGTATTGGTACTGGTACTAATACGAGTAATATGAGTAGCCTTAGTAGTAGTACACTTATGAGCAGCAGACTCAGTAGTGTTAGTGGAAGTGGAAGTGGAGGTGGTGGTAAACGAAGAAGAAAATATCATGGACACCGCCATCATCGACATCACAGAGAAAAAAAGACAAATACACAACTTCCCACAACAGGCATTACAGGAATAATGAACACAGTAGTTTCTCCTTCTATTACTCCTTCTTCTTCTTCTGTTCCTCCTCCTCTTGTTCCTTCTATTACGATTCCTGTGGCACCACCTGTAGTGATTTCTCCCACAGTTCCTCTGCCTGACAATGGGGATCGACAGAAACGTGAAAGTCAACAACGTAATTCGCAGAGAAGAGACGGACAATATCATCGTGGGGATCATACAAATATGAAAAATAAAGAATCAGGAGATAGAAATCGAACGAGCGAAAGAAAACATGGAGATAGATCCTCTAGAAGGAATGGAGCTTCTCCATCATCATTATCATCATCCTTATCATCATCAAGTACAACGTATTCATCAGCAAAGTATCCGATACCCATAGATAAAGGATTGTCATCAAAGAATACTTCCCGTCCTGCTTTATTATACAATGCAGAGGAGTTTGCTGACAAGAAGAACAGGAAGAAGTTTACTCAACAATTACAAGATGAACAAAGGGAAAAGGAGGAAAAAAGGTCTAAAAGACATAATGGTACTGTAGATAGTGATCAACAGAGAGAAGGATCATACCATCATCATCATCATCATCGTCGACACTATCACCATAGTCATTCCAATTCCATGCGGTCCCATTCACCCCAATATAATCATCATACTCATCATCATCATAGTAATCACAATAGTAATGATAACCATCACACTCGTGAGAACAGAGAGAATGAGTCACGTCATGCACGGCGAGAGAAACACAAAGTGGAAGAATCATACAACAGGAAAGAAGGACAGAGACGCCACCGTAGGCGATCACCTCCCTCAAGCTGTAGTTCACTCACCGTAAGTGCGAGAGAAAGTGATGATGATTATCGTCGCCGCGGTGGGAAAGGGAAATCTTCATCTAAACAAGAACGGAAAGGACGTTACCCAGGCGGTAAAACGGGAGAGATTCCAACAGCAACAACAAGAGAAGAAATAGAGAAGAACGGTGTAAAGGGAAAGAAGTCTCCAAGTAATCTTTTACTTCGTTTGCTTGGATTGGATGTGAAAAACCCAAAATCAACAGAGAAACCGAATGAGATGAAGAGTAGTGAAAATAAATGGAGAGATCAATCATCAAAGCGAAATATCTCAACAACACAAATGGTAAAAAACACAAATCCTCCTCGAGTGACGTCTGCGAATTCATATTTCCCTCACAATGTCAATAAAAAAGATGATCCAAATAAGAAACAATTCTCATCACTGGGTGCATTCATGAGGCGAGCATCACACCTCTTATCAGGTGAGAATGAATCCCAGCGAATACAACATGTTCCCACTCGAGAATTTCGCAAATCAAAAGGGATAGATACACGTAATGGTTCTCCTTCTAGTAAAAGAAATAATGATGGAACAAGTCACTCTCGTGATTGTCACTGCTCTAATGATTTGAGTGGAAATAGAAACAACAATGTCCGTAGAAGTGATTCCCATAGTAGCAGTAGCACCAGCACTAGTGAGAGAAGACACAGAGAAAAAAGAAGCAGAAATCACACAAGACGTACACAACATCGCTAAAAGTAAAAAAAGAAAAAAATAAAAAGGGCGATGTGAGTTTGTTGTTGATAATGGGCAACAATGATCATAAGAGTGTGGAAAGCATGTATTCGGTCATTATTTTGTTTTTTTTTCCTTCTTCTTTTTGGTTGTTATTATTATTATTGCTCTCTCTTGTTGGAAGAACTACTGCTTGTGTTGTGGGCCTATTAAGGTGTATGAGATGCTTTGAGGATGTCATTTGGAGTTTTCTGAGGCTTATTTCGTATTCCTTTCCAGACTATACTGTTGTTGGTTTCTTTTCATGGATTTAACAAGGCCATTTTATCCCCTTTTATTGTTGTTGTTGTTGTTGTTCAAAATATCTTTGCATTTAAATAGAGAATTATGCATTTACGTACATGTACGAACATACGGAGGAATGCATGTTTGTGTAAATGCACGTGTGGGCAATGTTTGTAATATATGATTCTTTGTATATATATGTGTACTTCTCTATATATCTATATTTATATGGTATATTCAATTATTGTATGACATTTCTCTCATGTATGTTTTCTTTTTCTCCTTTTATTATTATTATTATTATTATTATTATTATTATTATTATTATTATTATTATTATTATTATTATTTATATGGGAAAAAAATAGTCATCGTGCAATTGTGTTGAAAACCCAAAATGGCGCTTTTGCTAAATAAATAAATGCGCTAATGACGATGTTTTGCCCTTATTGACAAGAAGGGGACTCTTTCTGGAAAAGAAAAGGGTCCTCAGAAAAGAGACTTTGTGCCTTTAGTTGATTTTTTTTCTTCTTTTTTTTTTTTTTTTTTCCGCCACTACCATGAGAAATTTGTTGTTCCCTAGTTTGCTCGGATGATAAGCGGGATTATTGCTCCCCAGCATTACAATAATTATGCTTACAAGGCAGAAAAGTGTTGAAGAAAACGCTATTATCCACCAATCAGCTCTGTATATCATTTTGTAATTCTATTGTTTTTATCCTTTGCTAGTTCCTATATCATTGTTTTTTTTTTTTTTTCCTTCGTCGCTTTTCTCATATATTCGTCGCACAATCCGTTGAGTAAAGTATTAACTAGTGACGCCAATTCAGTTTTCCCCTCTTTTCTCTATTTCTAGAGAGATGTACGTTTAATATCTATATACATCTATCTATATCTATCTATCTATCTATCCATATATATATATATATATATGGTTTCTTTGAGATTTGCTTATGTATACCTTTGTTTGTGCTTGTAGTTGTGCTTGTAGGTGTTTCCTTCCTCGTAAAGAGAAAAGAGAAATACAGAAAAAGTATAATGAGAAAAATGGAGGGAGAAACATTTCCTTTTTTTTCCTCTTTTCACTTTTTCCTTTATTTTCTTGCGTGCGGTTATTTACTGTGTCTTTCCTTATATTGATGTTGGAAAAGTTAATAGTGACAAGAATGACAGTAGCAGAGAGCTATCGTCTCGTCCCATGTGTACCCCTTTTTCTTTTTTCTTTCTCTGTGTTTATATATGTATTGCCTGAGTATACGTTCATTCTCTTCTTTATATATTTTCTTTTTTCTTTTTTTTATCATTTTGTTAAAAGAAGCGATAGTGGTTGTGTGGAAGTAGTAGTAGTCGTGTCTGTGCTTGTGGCTGCCAATGGCGCATGCCGTTCCGAACTGTCTATTGCAATTACTGCGGGATTACACATCGCAGGCACTTGACGCCGCCCGAGATGTCTCGGATGAGTTTGAAGGAGAAGTGGAGGATTTAACACGACGGGCCACTCGCATTCACGCCGTTCTTAAACTCATTCGCGAATGTGAAGAGAAGTCTCGCACTCTTCCCACGATCTCAACAACATCAACATCAACATCATCATCATCATTATTATTGTTATCATCATCTATGGAAACACCTTTGCAATTGGCATTAGGGGGATTGGGTGAAATGACCGCAGAGCTCACTGGTGTGGTGGATGTGAACAGCAGCGCAGGCAGTCGATTGAGTGGATCCCGTCATTACGGACTGCGGCCGCTCGCCAAACCCGTTTCTCTCGCAGAGGCCGCGTTGGAATTATTTGGCCACAACACCAAAGTTGTCTTTAGACGCACAGAGAAACGCGGACGGGATCTGAAAGAGACCAACAACACTCCACAACAATCCCAACAACAATTACAATTACAATCAACGGTGTTTGCATCTCTGTCGGCCTCTCAGCGGAAGAGGCGGCTGTTATTATACACCGCGCGGTCCGCCGTGTTGCCGCTGCGGGGCGTTGCCGGAAGTGCGGCGGTTTTTGTTCCCCCCGCCGTGCGGGAGTTCGCGGACCTCAACGTGGCGGCGGAGTGTGCGATGCTGGCGGCCTTCTACTGCGTGGATGCGAAGGCGCAGCTGCTGCGGGAGTGGCCGGCACTGCAGCGGTCGGTGCGCCAACTGCAGGAATCCCTGCGGAGTGCCAATGTGGAGATGCGCGGCGGGTGGACATCACAACAAGAAGAACAAGAAAAAAAAGAAGAACAAGAAAAAAAAGAAGAACAACTGCCGTGGTTTGAGTTTCCATGTGCAGAGGCGGGTGTTATTCGCATTGTTGTGCGGCGTGCACTCGCACTGGAAGTGACGTGGGATCCAATGCACGGCGGCCGCTGGCGTGTGTTAACACTGCGATGGCTGCTGCGCATTCAAACACCACCGGATCTTCTCACAAACCCCACCTCCATCTCTCACACAACACTTGAGAAGAATAACACTTCTTCTTCTTCTTCCTCTGATAATAATGATAATAAAGATGTTGTTGTTGTTGTTGCTGGTGTGAGTGAACCTGGGGTACCACTTCTTGTTATTCCAGCACATTATGAGGCATCTGTGCGTTATCTTAACAACTACTTTGAAACTGGATTAGAGAGTGGCTGTTTGGCCTCTTTACATCTCGTGAATGCGGTGGTGATGGATGTGATTGAAACGCAATGTAAAGCACTGCGTGAGACGTTCTTTCTTGGACCACTGGAGTCTTCTTTTGTAGTGGATGTACATCCTGGTACATATGTCGCTATCACATTACAGCCACCCTCTCTAGTAATCCCAACAACAACAACTACTACTACAGCAGGAAGTGTTGTTCCTCTTCACGTAAAGTATCGATTGTGTATGGGCACTATTGTTGTAGAGTGGCGGAGAGGCACAGATACTCGCATGACACTTCAGTCTGATCTTTACAGTCAAACACAGGCAGAGAATGGTCCAATATCTGCTGTGGTGGTTGTGGATGTGGAGCAATTCTTGTGGAAACTCATTTCTGTTTAGGGGGGACACCACATCTATTTACAAACGCAGATGTGACTCTCTGCAATTAAAAAAAGAAAAGGAAAAAAGAGAGAGAAAGAGAAAGAGGTGGGGAAAAAGTTAAATTTTCCTTCAACGTGTAATCTATTTATCTGTATGTGAATGTGTGTCATGTGTTCTTGCACTCTCAACAACCTTTACGGTGAATTTATTGAATGAGTCTCTCTTTTTGTTTGTTGTTGGTTGTTTAAGTGGCGTTGTGATTGTGTTTGTGTGATTTGGAGGTGTTTTTTCTTGTTCATATCTATAGTGAGACCAGAGAGACGATAAAAATCCACACATAACTTTTGTATAGTTATTTATTTATTTATTTACTTGTTGTTTATTAATTGTGGTTGTTACTAGCCAAATCATCCCCTCTTTTTTTCTCTTTGGCTTCTCAATATATATTTATATATTTCATTACCAGAGTACAAGAGTGTGGAGTCAAGGAATAAAGAGAAAGAAAAAATAAAGTAAATAACGAACAGCAACAAGAAAAAGATAAATAAATAAAATGATTTCTAGTACGAATTCTTTTGTGAAAGTGGCATCAGAAACCATCAAACATGATGTGCGAACACTCTTTCACTGGGATCCCATTGGCAATAAACTGCACTGTGCGATGCGGGATGCTTTCTATCTTGTGATTGATACCCCCAAGTTCTTTATGTACACACATAGTGCATATGGAGCTATGCGGCGGTATATTCGCCAAGCCCGCATTAATAAAGGGAAAGTAAATCCAGAAGACTTTCGTGATGTGGATACCAATGTACTGCGGGAATCTCTTATTCGATTTGCACAGTGGAAGGGTCCACTGCAGAAGATTGATTTTCGCTGGTTTTACTGGATGTATGCATTAATGATTGGTTATGTGCTTTGGCAGGGTCTCGCACTGCAGAAGATGTTAGATGAGAAGGTGGAGCGGAGTGGAATGTCACTAGAGGAGCGTAGAAATTTGTTTGATGATGATTACGAGGAAGATCTGCGGCCGCGGTAATTGTAGGGGAATATCACAGAATCATAGTGATAGTAATAAAAAGACATCATAAGTATCGTATTATTATTATTATTATTATTATTATTATTATTATTATTATTATTATTATTATTATTATTATTATTATTCTGTTATTGTACGGTGGTGGTGTTTTTATTATTTCTTTTTTTTCTTGTTGAATTTTCCATTTGATGGTAACGCCTCTATTGTTCATATCTTTTTTTTTTGTTTTTTCTCTTCTAGTTTATTTCTGAAGCTGAGAGGAGGGAACGAGAAAAAAAAAAAGAAGGAAAAAAAAACAATAATAATAAAAGTAATACTCATTAAGACACACCCACACACATACACTCATATATATATTTATATATATATATATATATATATATATATCTTTTATCTATTCTGTTTACGTGTGATGAGTACGGCTCCTCCATTAATAGCGAAGAAAGACAAGTATGAACAGTTACTCGCCAAGTACGACTGGCGATCGCCCTTCCCTCCACAGGGATATCAATACGGCATTGGACGCGGCGCTAAAGGATTCTCCACATCGGCAGAGTTGAGTTCCGCCTCCGGTGCGGCCGCACAGTTTATGCTGCCCACAGCTGATAAGAATAACTTACTGGATGCATTAGATCAAATGGAGGAGAATAGACATAAACGTCGAAAAGAAGATGCGAAGAGAAGTCGAAATACAGCCACTGCTTCTTCTCCCTCTTCTTCTTCTTTAAATGTTACGGTTGGTGGAGAGAAGAAACGAGCCAAGGTATTACTATCTATGGAAGATATTGCCACTATTGGGAGTGGAATTACTGGACACGCATTAGTGAAGCGAAATGCCCGCACGGACGATATGGACGTTGTGGATAATTATGAATTCTCTGATGAAACTGCCGTCGTTACCGCCAGTGATCTTTTACGCAGTCGCACTGTAACGACCGATCAAACATTAGAGAATATTCTCGGAATGGGTTCACCAACGGAGCAAACGACATGGATTACACATTCCCGAGCTTTACGGGAAATGGGAATGATTAAAAAAGCACAACAAACACTTATGGAAGGTTGTCGAATGACGGGAAGTAAAGGTCCACTTATTTGGAAAGAACGATTGGAACACATGCAAGACCCAACAGCCCAACGCAAATTATTAGAAGAGGCTGTAAAGATATGTTGTGGATGTGAAGAGTTGTGGATATTATTATTAGAACATGAACCCCCGCATGAACATTTACATTGGTTACAACAAGCCGTGATGGCATGTCCTGCGAGTGAGAGTTTGTGGTTGCGAGTGCTTGAACACATTCCAACACCGCGAGATCAGAAGAAAATTATTCGTAAAGCACTTGAAGTCACTCCACAACTTCCATCACTTTGGGCTATGTTGGCACGGTTAGAAGATTATGAAACGGGAAAAGCTATATTTAATGCCGCTGCTGCAGAACATCTTTCACTTCAAATTATTATTGAGGCCGCAAAGTTTGAAGAATTTCACCTGAAAACACAATGGAAAGATGAGAAGGAGTATTTACATTCATTAGAGAATGATAGAATTAATTCATTTGTACGTCAAGCAGCAGAGCGTTTTCTTAAGATGGATGAAGAAAAATCTCGTAAGGATTGGCTTCAAGTAGCCCGTACGGCTGCTGGAGATCGATATGTGATAACATCTGCATATATGTATTTAAATTTTCTATCGGATAAAAACTCCACAAAACTTTCTGTGCCGACAACATGGATGGAAGATTTAATAGCCTTAATGCCAGATACTTGGTATACACATGATGTGTTGTGTGCCATTTGGGCCGCGATGCTTCTTATTTACGAAATCCATGGAATCTCTGAACAAGATACTAAAAATAAAAACAAGACTAATACTATGAATAGTAATCATACTAATAATATTAATAATACGACTCTGACGGAAAGAGAGATGGAAGTCATGACGACATCTATTCAATTAGCTCCATCCTCTGCAATTGAAGCGGCACTCTTAGCATTAACAAAGTATCAATCTTCTCATACTGTACAGACTACAAATACCAATAAAACAATAATAATGGAAGAAGAAGAGGAAGAAGAAGAACTGGATAGACCCGTACCAACAGATGCTGCTGTATCTATTACAAATGTGAACACAACCTCTGCCACGGCGGCATCTAAAAGTCTTCCAGAGCCACTGGTGTGTGTATTCCTTCGCACACTACTGCAAACACCACTTCTCAGTACAGTGGAGGTCATTCTTCGTATTGCCAAAGTATTGTACGAACGGAAATATTTCAACGGTGCCTCTCAAATTCTGCAACTGGGAATATTACGATATCCACTACACACTGCTCTCTATGCGGCGGCGGCGAAAACACTAATGGCGATGGGATGTGAAACAGAGGCGGAGCAGATTCTTCTGCGGGGAACGGAAATTACACCAGCGGATTCGGATATTGCATGGGTAAAGCTTGCTGTTCATAGACGAAGTAAACATGAAGATATTATCCCATTACTTGAAAAGGCTATTTCTATATTTCCAACATCAGAAAGGTTATGGTTAATGCGATTAGAGGCAGAAGGAATGCGGGTAAAGGCGGCATTAGAGGATGCATCTATGCGGGGTATGAGCACCGCCCCACTCATTGCGGAATTACGTCAAGTGTATACAAGGGCACTTACCACCGCACACTGTCGGTTTATACCAACTGTATGGTGTTATGCCGCCGTGAGGTTAGAATCAAATCTGTTAAGTAATGCCAGTGCAGCTAGGGCGTTACTTCTAGATGGAGTCGTTGTATGTACACAACAACCACATCCACAATCATTATCACAACTATCACAAGCATCCCAACAGAAACGACAATATCTTTACAGTCATGCGGAAGTGTATGCTGCGTTTGGACTTGCGAGGTCTCATGTGGAGTTAAGACACGCGGGACGTCAAACGGCACTTGAGGTGGTGAAGGAAACATTACAACAACTTCCCAAGAAAGATGGATGTTTCACTGTTCCCGTTGGGGAGTTGGCGTCTCTCTCTATTGACTTGGAGGCCCCGGCCGCACGTGGACGCGCGGCTGCACAGGCGGTCCAACATTGGCGATTGCGAGATCCACTCGTGTTGGCTTCAGTAGCGAAGGTCTATCACGCTGCGGGGCGACACCAGAAGGCATTGGAACAAGTGTTGAAGGCTGTGAAGATGAGTGATGGTCGTTGTGGAGATGTTGTGGCCTTGTGGTTGAAGTTGGCGGGTTTATCATCATATAAACAAGTGTTGTTGGAGATGATGGGCCTTACAGAGGAGGCGGAATGGGCAAACACAGAGAGATGTTTGGAAATGGGTGTGTTGTTGTCGTGGTTAAGTGAACAGGTGGAGGAGTCATCATGCGGTGGAAATGATGGTAAGAATAATAGTATGAAGAAGAATAACATCAATGGTAAGAAAGACAACCGCACATCAACAACAACAACAACAACAACAACAACAACAACAAGAAGAATAGGAACAGGAAGTACTACTACTAGTACTAGTACTAGTACTATAAAGCCCAACAGTGGACCATTGTGGATAGAAGTGGCGAAAGCACAGGATCCGAGCAATGTAACTCTGCTTGGATACAGAGACTCCATAGAGTCTATGCTGCAGAAGGTGATGGATCTTATTGAACTGTGAGGAATTATGTACAAGTTCATTACATCAACACCAACACGTGTAAACACTGTTTACAGATGGAGTTAAACTTTTTTCTTTTTTCTTTTTTTTCTTTTTCACGTCTATGGTGGAACTCTTGTTACTATTTTCTTTCTATCTATCTATCTAGTGTTATGCAAAACACATAGATGATTATAAATATGGTTTCGATTAAAGTGTGTCTCTTTTTTTTATTATTATGGAGTGGAATTTCAATTCCTTAAGCAATCACTTTCTGTTTCACTTCTCTCCTATTCATCATTATCATAAATTATCTCGTAAAGTATAGGAAAGATAGAGAAGGGAAATTACGAAGAAAAAGAAAAAAAAAAAAGGAAGGGGAAATCACTATCATTATAGTACATTCAATACATATACTACTTGGCGATTGAACGACGACAGTACCATAGGAGCAAGAAGGAAAAAAAAATAATAATAAGAACAACAACAACAGTAATAAATAATAACAAAAAAAAAAAGCAAAAATAACAAAAAATAAGCAAATCTATCCAGCAATGGGCGACGTAGGTGATGACTTTACGGATTCTGCTGAAGAGTGGGAGGCACCAGTGAATGTTACCGCCAATGAGGATGATAACAAGAACAACAAGAACACCAACGCTAGCAATAAGAGCAAGGAGTTAGTGGAGCAGCTGCTGGGCGAAGATCGGGAGTTGGCCGGTGAAATGGTGCGGGTGGTCTTTCACCTGCCGGATGGCCGGAGTGTAACGCGGGAACATTTCACAGGTGAGACGATTGCGTGTTTGAAGGCGCAGTTGGAGGAGTGCGATGGTCTCGCGTACGACAAGACAACACTTTTTATTGGCGATCGGGCGCTGTTGGATCCACTTTCACTGGACGATCTCCCCTTCACCGTCGGCGTCGATAATAACGTTACCGTGCGGATCACAGAGTAAACCCCGCTCATATATATATATATATATATATATATATAGATATAGTATGTCATCTAATGTGTGTGTGTGTGTGTGTGTGTATGTGAGTGTGTATGAATGCTTACGCTTGAAAATAGAGTGAAAATAAAAAAAAAGAAGGGAAAAGGTAATTTGGGCGGTGGTTTAAACCAAGTAAAGATGAAAAAAAAAAAAAGAAAAAAACCCTTCTCGAGGATTTTTCTCATTTATATATATATATATATATATATATATATATCACTTTTACGACAGCTTCTTACAGTGTGTTTATTATTATTATTATTATTATTATTATTATTATTATTATTATTATTATTATTATTATTTCCTCTCTTCTTCCTGCAGATGTTGCTGTTGCTGTTTTCCACGCCACATCGCGGTGTGTGTAGCCTTTTACTATCTCCGTTTTTTTTTTTTTTTTTTTCTTCCTTTCCTTCCATACATGACTGTGGGATCTGTATGTTGCTATTCAACTCTACTTTTACATCAGAAAAGGAATGAGGACGAAAAACACAGTACATAAAGATAAGAAAAAAAAAAAGAAAAAAAGAGGGAGATGCATGACTGTAGTGAAAAGAAGAACTGAAACATCACGAGATAACAGAAACCGTTATTATTATTATTATCATTATTATTATGTAATAAAGGAAAGAACTTTGGTACGAGAAGAAGAACAAAAAAAAAAAAAAATGTAAATTGAGATTTGGGATACTGATGTGGGCAGTTTGAGAAAGTATTCTCTATAGTTCTCTGTTTACTATAGTATCTGTGTAGATATTCGCACTGTTCTTCCTAGTTTCTTTTTTTTTCCTCTTTTATTTTGTTTTTATTTTTATTTTTCTTTCTTTCTTTCTTCTTTCCTTTTTGCTGCACGGACTCTCTTTATATATATATATATATATATATATATATATATATATACGCACACTGGGTTTGTTTGTTTTTCTCTTTATTGTGGAAAAAAAAAGGTACAGAGGGGCGTAGTTCTCTGTGGCTGTTTTTTTCTTTTCTTTACGATTGTTATTATTATTTTATTTTTCCTCATATGTTTTTTTTCTTTTATTTTCTTCCTTTTCTCAGTTCTTTGGGTGGGAGGTGTTGTTGGCTTCACGACTGTGAGCAGTAGAAATTACAGGGGCCTATCGACTGAAGTAAACAATAGAAGATAACACAAAGAAAGAAAAAAAAAAAAGTAATTATAGTTGGTGTTCTCATGTTGCGTATAAAGCTAGCGGGGCTTGCTGCGGGGTTTTTCTCAACAGTGGCGATTTATCATCAATTTATTTATGTGCGGATTGTAGATATTCACGCACAACACAAGAAACGTCTGGAAGGGATAGAACAGGAATTACTGCAGGTCTCACATGAAGTTTCACAGTTAGTCCCCGCTGGAGTTGGGAAGCCGTAGAGTAATAAGCAACCATTATCTTTTTAATGATTATAGTTGATGTTGTTGTTGTTTGTTTGTATGGTTTGTGTGTGTTTTTTTTATCTTTGCATGGCTGCTGATGTCAACAGGTCTGACAAGAAAGATTGAGAGAGAGAAAAGAAAAGAAAAGAAAAGAATCCAACATGTATGAACAAATATATAAAGATGTACAATCACTACTTCTATTCTTAATAAATACCTTTATTTCTATTCTATTCTATTCTATACATATATACATAGACCCCTTCTGTCGCTCTAAGAGTACTGAAGAAAGAGAAGGAGAGAGAGTTAGAGAAGAGAGGGTCGTTGAAAGAGAAACACCATTCCCCCACTCCTAAAACAGAAAGAAAGTAATAAAGAAAGATCAGTAAATAATAATAATAAAAAAAAAAAACAGACAAAATAAAAAATAAAAGAATACACAAATGGTCTCCACAACTGCAGCGGCTCTTCTTCACAACACCGTTACTCGCCTCACACTTGGCAACACCCCACTACACGCTGTGCCCATAACAGTCGCCCAACAACTGCGGCCTCTTCTCGAGTGCAGCACTTCCCTCACGGCCTTCACACTCCACACACAGTTCACACCGCCAGAGTCACTGCGGCTTCTCTTGTTGGGAGCCTCCCGCTGCCGCAGTCTTCAACACGTGCGGCTCGTTGGTGGGATCAGTGTTCTCCAGTCAAAGATGGTCATGGCCGCCTTCACACACTTCACACTCGCACACAACATAAAAAGACCCGCCACGGCCAGACGTGTGGATAAGAGTCCAGTGAGTAGATGTCCACACACACCAGCACCAGCACCAGCACCAGCCGTAGGAGGAAGAGGAAGCGAAAGAGAAAGAGAAAGAGGAGTGGCCGTTAGAAGAGAGAAAGCGGAAGATAGACGAAATCATGTAGGACAATGCAATAAATACAGTCGAGTACACTCTGTGGGGATTCCAAACACAAAATCCACTCAAACTCCATCTCCACGATCTCCACGATTATATGAAGGAGTATACGTTGTACTAGATCTACACCATCTGGATGATGTTGTGGCGAGTATGTTGTTAAAAGGTCTGGAGCGATCTGAGCGTATTGTTGGTTTGGATGTACGCATTGCACCAACTTCACAGGCGTCTGTACGTATTGCATCTCGAATGCTTTCTCGTGCCAATATTATTCTCTCTCGCAATGCCAAACGAGTGAATTCTCTACGTGCTACACCAAAGGCACCACGACAGGCCACACCCTTTTCCCCTACGAATGAAAAAGAGATTTTGAAATCACCAGCTGTGGAGGGAAATGCTCATTCCAATATTGTTTTCGCATCTGAAATGGCAACAGGAGCCCCACGAGAGCCGTCAGCGTCTAACTCACGTAATCTCCCAGCACGTCGCTATTCCCCACCACGACTACTTTCCGCAACACCACCACCACCATCACCACAACTACAAGAACAGAGAAAACTACCGTATTCACCACCCCCACGACGGCCTGTAATGAATGGACGACAGCGTTTCTTTCGAGAAGGAGTAGAGGATGTGTGGTGTGTGCCAAAACATACAAGAGATGAAGGGCACTGCACGGATTGTTTTGTCTGCAGTGATGATATCCGTTACTCTGAAGGGTTGTCTTCACCAGACCGGAGACGAGCCACAGATGTACCTAATCATCATGCTTGGAATAATCGAAGAGCTCACATGCATGGTGGCTCTTCCGTACAGCCAACACCACGCATGATGCAACAGGAGAAAGAGCAACAAGAAGAAGAAGAAGAAAATGAAAAAGAAGAAGGTGCGACTGCAGTAGCAGCAGCATTAACAACAGGAACAACAATAACAACAACTCATGCGAGTCCATCTCCTTCACATTGTACACCTTATACACCGCGACATGCGCCACCATCGCCGAGAGGACAGGCAATACAACAAATACGCTATCTGCGTGGTTGTGTGCGGGATATTAACGCAGTGGTGGTGCGTTTTCAAGTTGTAAGCCGTGAGTCTGTTCAGAGACTAGTTACAGAGATGCGCGTTTTGGAAGAGCAGTTGACAGAAAAAGTTACTGCAAAATTAACTGACATGATGATGTCCTTATCAGATATGGAAAAACAAGAAGGATAAAAATTGCTTGTATTTGTGTATCATTTTCTTATTCTGCAATAAAAAAAAAAAAGCAATGAGGAAGGAAATATAAAGCATAATATACCTTAACTTTTCTTTCCTTTACTTTTATTTTTCTTCTTACTTTCTGTATAACTATCCCTTTCCCATATTTTTTTGTTTCTTATTTTTTTAAAATCTTTATATTCTTTTTTTTTCCTTTACGACGGTGGTGCTACTGTCATTACTACAGAGTCTATATAAATATATATTGGGTAAGAAGGGGTGTAGGGTGTAGTTGGAGGTATTTTTTTTTTTTTTCTTTTGGCTTTAATGTGTATTTTTTATTTTTTTTTTTCTTCTGGGTGGGTGAAAGACTTGAGCCACAGATCTTGTGCTCCCTTTCTTTATGGATCTAACAGACATGAGACATAAATCATCATTACCATGTCTCTCTTCCTTTCATTACACATTCCATCTCTCTCTCTCTCTCTCTCTCTTTCTCTCTTTGTGTGTATTGTAAACAGCGGGAAAGAAGAAAGCCCAAGGCGGAACTGCTGCCTTCAGATGCCAGCGCTCTCATCGACGGCGGCCCCAATGGCGGCGGCGGCGGTGGGCCGGAGTGTCTTCGCCGCCCTCCACCACCTCACCGCGCAGGATCTCGACACGCACCGCGTGGAGGCCGCCCACCGCGTCGTGTTGGATTGCGTCACCGCCGTGGACGCGAGGATGCGGGTGTACATGTTCGGCTCCACCGCCGTCTACGGCCTGCACGAGCGCGGCAGCGATGTGGACTTCGTCGCCCTGAGCAGCAGCGACGTGCGGGACGGGAAGGGCGAGGACGCCGCCACGCAAGTCGCGAAGGGCCTCCAGGCGGACTTTCTCGCCAAACTCGCACGAGTGGTGCGCCGCGAACACATTGCGTGGAGTGTAGAAGAAGTGCGCCGCACACGTGTGCCGGTCATTCGCGTGAAGGGCGGGGCCGATGATGTGGACTTTGATATTACGGTGAATAGACGGAATGGAGTGCGGAATAGTGCCCTCCTGCGGGCGTACATTGAACAGGAGCCAGAGTGTCGTTGGTTGAGTATGGCGATAAAGCGGTGGAGTAAACGGGCCGGGCTTAACGCGGCGGTTCTTGGTGGTAGTATTACCTCCTATGGATTTAACATTATGACTGTATATTACTTACTTCAGCGGGGGAAACTGCAGTTTGTTCCACCAGCCTCTATTGATGTGGCGCAGATTCAACCGGTACCGCCTTATCTCCCGCTAAAGCCATTACAAGATGATGGAGAGGAACTCGGTGAACAGATTGTTGATTTTCTAAACTTTTATCGGCATGAGTTTGATGCGGCAAATCATGTCATCTCACTTAGTAGACCTGGTATTACAACAAAGGAACAATTGAATTGGACGAAAACGGCAGAGGATTTTGCACGTATGAATGGTGAGAAGATTCACTACCAATGGTGTATTGAGGACCCATATGAACTTAATTTGAATGTGGGGAGAAATGTAACTCCATTGAAAAGAGACTTTCTGCATAAACACTTTGAAAAAGCGCGTGAGACAGCTCTTTTAACTCTTCCCCCAAAATAAACTCTCTCACACAAATATATTCACATTCTTATTCACATTATATAACGTTTTCAGCATGAGACAATCTTAGGAGATCAACAACACAAAAGCATGAACGTCGGGTTTACTATGTCTATGGGAAATTTGAAATAGATGAAATGTTTTTTTTTTCTTTTTTCTTTTATATTACACTCTTTTAAATTTACTTCTCTTTTCTTCTTTCTTTTTTTTTTTCACCTAAGCGTACATACAATCGTCAAAAAGGGCGAGTGAGAAGAAGAACTAGAGCAAAGTTGTGTGTGTGTGTGTGTGTGCGTGCGTACGGCGTGTGAGTTCTCATTTGCAGGGATTTATTTCTGAAACGAGGGAACTAAGAAAAAAGAATTAGCAAGGGAAAAGAGAGAAAAAAAAAAACATTTCTCATAAATACACAGACAAAGAAAACATATTTATTAGATATATATATATATATATATATATATATATATATATATACTGTAATACTTAAAAGGGAGTTAAAGAAAGTTACACACATAGGCGGACCATCAGACATAAAAACGAAAAAGGAAAGCCAAAAAAGGAAAAAAAAAGATTGATAATTGGCTTCAAGTGAAGAAAAAAAGTGATGCGTAGATGGTCTGGGATTCCACTGGCCTCATTATTATGTGGCTTTATTTCACGACGACGTTCGTCTAATGATAATCGAACTATTGATAGTAGTGCATTCATCAGTGATGATGATGCATTGCGTGGAGAACTTGCATCTGTGTTGGAGACAGAAGGCCATACATCGCCTCTAGATGCTCTTCAACAACCATTGGAGTCTATTGCTGGTAGTAGTACAGGCATGACTATTCAATTGGAGAAACTAACACGTCCTCCAGCCCGTTTTGATCTTCTCACAAACTCTTTTGTTTATAAATGGCAGACAAAAGCAGGACTTGCTCGTAAAGTCTCAGGACCTATGCGAGAGTGGGCGGCAGAGTTGAAGTACCGAACAGGTGTACATCTGGAGTTGGAACCTACATATCCAGATAGGCTTTCAGATGAAATCAATAGTGGAACCAGTGGAAGCAGCAACAACGACAATAATGAAAATAATAATAATAATAATAATAATAATAATAATGGTGAAAATGAAGGAGGTGCGTATGAATCAGCGGATGATGTAGATATCACGGTATATCTATTTGGTTCAGAACGTGGTATCTTTAACTGTCACAAATTAATGGAAGCTGCTATTCAGCAGGATCCAGTGTATGTACGTCTAGGTATATTTAGACGGGCTTCTGGCTCTAATGAGGTGGAGTGGTTAATGCTTCGCCGTATTAACAGAGAACTACGACCTCCGGATATCCCACCTATTTCATTAAAATTGCCAGGAAAGTGGACACTACTGTATGAGCGATATAAAGAAGCGGCTGTACGAACATTATGGGAGGAAACTGGTATTACAGTAGATCCTACGAATGTATTTCCAACGGCTCAGTTGTATCAAACCAATCCACAGTATTATTGGCGTGTGCCTGTACGTTACTTTATTGCGGAAGTCCCGCATGATGTACGTGTGGAAGGGCCGCAGGTGGTGCCAACACAATATATGCGGAACTGGGATGCCCGTTTACTGCGACAATCACCAGATCCGATTGACCGTGCTTGGGCACAACTTGCAGATCCCACAACGGGATGTGCGTGGATGAAGGCTTCAATGATTGATGAACTGCAGAGACCACTGCGGGGAGATCATTACATGTCGATTCGATACACTCCACCACCATACTCTAACCTGCAGGAAGTGGTTGGTCTCGGTGATGGCAGTGGCACTACTAGTGATATGAATGGGACGACCCCTACACCACCATCCTCTTAGTGGAAGAAGGAAGAAGAAGAAGAAGAAGAGAGAGAAGTAAAACCGAAAAAAGAGGAAGGAATAAAAGAAAATGGTGAATTGGCGTATTTTTGGGTAGATGAACATTACTTGTTATTTCAAGAGGGATCACAAAGTTATATATATATATATATATGTTTATATATGCATGGAATGAAGAACACAGAGCAGAAAAAAGAAAAGGGAAAGAAAATGACAGGGAAATGACGGTTTCTCTTACAGAAAAAAAAAGCCTTATTTTAAGACTGTTAGTGGCAGACTTATCTACAAAGCTAAGAAGGCAGTATACAAAGAACAAAAGAGGTTGAAAGAGAGAGAGAATGAAAGAAAGGAAGGAAAAAATATTGTGGAATGTCTGAACTGTGGTATCGAACCTGTATTGAGGTTGTGTGTTTTACATCCTTATTTCTTTCTCATTAAAGAAAGAAAAAAAAAAAAAAAACAAATAATATTTGTATAAAAGTCATGGTTTACTAAAGTAACAACTCTTGGGGCACTGTATTTCTACAAATGTGTATTTTTCTTTTATTTATTTAATTTCTTTTTCTCTTAAGGCAAGATAGGCATTACATCAGAAGACCAAGGTGAAAGAAAAAAAAAAAAAAAACGTTAAACACCAAAGAAAACAGAAATAATTAACAAGGACAAAATATACAATAATAATAAATTTAAATAAAATAAATGCCTCCAAAAAAGGGTAAAAATGGACGTAATAATGCGACTGTGTCTAAACGCGGTGTGAGTTTCGAGAAATATTTCACTAGTGTCTACGGTGCCCGTTGGCCTACTCTCTGTAAGGCGATGACGGCCTCAACACCGAAGAAAGTAGTCTTGTGGAATCGCTTCTGTCAATTACCTTTTGAAAAGGTAATGTCCAATATGAAACGTGTACATGATAAATCCCTTTTACAAGTATTCTGTGTGGAATCCGATGAATTAGTAAATCCACCGCAATTGCAATTACAACAGATTACGGATGACTTTAATGTGAGAGCCCATCACTTTCTTGATTATACTTCTGCACTTATTGTAGAGCAATTAGATGTGACGGCGTTTAATAAAGTATTGGATTTATGTGCAGGTTCTGGTGAAAATACTATCGCTATTGCCCAATGTCTCTCTGTAGATGGAGTTCTTATAGCGAATGAAACAAGATCGGATCGTTATTTAAGATTACAACGTAATATTCGTGAATATGTTCCCCCCAATTTTGTTCCTATCACAATAACAAAACGAGATGCCCAAACGTGGTATAGTCCATCTACTTATCATCGTGTGCTTGTGGATGTGCCGTGTAGTTGTGAACGCCGTATACTGCAGCAGCAGAAACAACAATGGGGTGCTGTTCCCATTAGTCCACAGGTGTGGAGTGAGGAGAGTAGTCGTGAGATGAGTCGAACGCAGCGAACACTACTCTTGCGAGGGATTGAAGCCTGTTTACCAGATGGACGTATTGTCTACAGCACCCGTTCCATGGCTCCAATGGAAAATGATGAGGTGGTGGAGGATGTTCTGCAGCGTACACGATGTGAGGTGGAAGTGCAGAAGATCACAATGTGTGTAGGTGAAGCCACTCGGTATGGATGGATTATTCTTCCTGATCATACACAGGGTTTGGGGCCTATGTACTGTTGTGTTTTGCATAAAATCTCTGATACCCGTTTAGACAGTGAAGAAGAGGAAGAAGATAGTAGTAGTAGTGAGAGTGTTAGTACTACTACAGAGAAGGAGGAGGAATAGGCAGGTTATTGTATTTCACAGAGTGAGTGGATGGTGGTGGTGGAATAGTGTGTAGACGAGTAAATAAACATAAAGAGAAGAAAGAAAATATCAAGACGATTAAAGGAAAAAAAAAAAAAACAAATATATATATATATATTTTTGTACAGATCTCTGTTTATTTCTTCTTGTTTTCCTTATAGGAAACGGTGAACCCATTTCTTTTTTTTTTTTTCTTTGATATTCTTTTTATGCTTGGATATAGCTGTATGTGAAAAGAAGAAAAGAAAATAAAAGAAAAAAAAAGGAGTGAAACGCCGTTCATTCACTCTTTTTTCCCCTTTGATATTAGCGTCAGAACTATTTATGACTTTACATATTTTTCTACAGTCTATTTATCTATGAAACGATGTTATTCTCTCATATGGATAAGAAGAAGAAGAAGAACAACAACAACAACCCTTAAACATTCAAACCGGTTTTATGTAAATAAGACTCCACGAGAAGAAACACTCATAATGGAAAAATATCATTTACCCCTGCGGCGGGCCTTTCATTTCATTGAAGAAGGAAGAAATCATCAAGAACATTTCGCCGAATGTGAGGAAGACATGCAGACAACTTCTTCTTCTTCTACTTCTTCTACTTCTACTAGTGAAATGCAGATACTTCAACGGGATGCTGCCCGTTATGCTGCTTATCACTGTCATCATTTACTAAATTCATTTCGTGCAGAACGACATCGATGGACAAAAGTGAATGAACTCTCATTTGAAGACTTGACTCGAGTGATAGAGTTTATATTCTTTGCATCTCTTTTACTACATCTTACAGCACTATACGAAACAGCCGATAAGTACTGTGAGTCATTAATTAATCTTGTATTTTCCTGTAGTGTATTTATTTCTAAAGATGTTCATAAACTCTACCAATTGTATGATGATAATAGAAACTGTTCAAGTGTAGAAACTCCCTCTTTTCCCAATGTTAAATCAGAAGGTACAGAAAAGGACGAGCCTTGGGACTCTTTACATTGGGCAGTCATACATTTTACACATGGTATCTCTAAATGGGGTCTTTTAGATCATACAGAATCATTGTTTGATATGCGGAAAACGACTATTCCTTGCTGTGCGATGTTACGTACATTTGCAAAGATCACTCGTTCCATTTTGATGATGAATGAAAAGATGATGATATTAAATAAAGAAGAAATACGTTTTCTTTCATATATAGCTACAAAAGAGGGATCTAGCAGATGGCTGGCAACGTCCCACAATACGGTTTCCTTACCATCATCATCATCATCTACTCATAGAGATCATAAAGAGGGAAATACAGAAGTTTCCATCTGTTTTGCCCAACAACGTCGTTTACAACTTTTACCATTACTATGGATGGCATTACTTGCACGTCATTCCGTTAATCTTCACAAGAGGCATCAACTTTATCCATCCCGACATGCCTTGTTGCGGGCCTTATTACTCTTCAGCAAAGAGGCAAAAGGAGATATGGTATTAACATTACTAGTTAGATGTTTGTATTTTCACCCTCCTGATGTACGGGTAAGTTCTGTAGAGATGGGTGTTCTCCTTGCTCAAATGGAACGCCATGAGGTTTTCTCTTCTTCCTTATCATTATCATCACAATCATCATCATCATCATCATCATGTGTGGAGTTATTGCGTTTATGGATGAGGATGGAAAAAGTTCAGGAAGATGCACCAGAGGCGAAAAGCCGCCGAGCTGTATATATTGCCTTCCGAAATATTCCACTCTGTGCTCTGCAGATAGTGGGAGACCATTACACATCTACAGTTGACGGAGAGGCGTTTGTACATGAACTGTTACTTCGCGCGTTACTGCAGTGGTCCTTTCGGGTTTCAGACAACACATCATTTAAAGGGGAATTGGAGGAATTGTTATTATCAGCACAACACATGGTATCACTTCTGGAGGGAATTAAACTTCGGGAATCAATTAATAAAAAAGAAGGAGCTTCTTTACTTGTTGTGGAAGCCATACTTCGTGCCTTTGCAGTACGTGTGTCTGTTATCTGCAGAAGAAAATATGCGTCTAGTGAGAAATCACAGTTAACACTATTGGAGTTTGATAAGATTCTGCAATGTACATTGCGGAAAGAGAGGAATGGCTCAGATACGGGTTCTGTGCCTTGTGTATACGAAAAGAATCGACATCAATGGTTAAAGAATCTATGACTGAGGGGAATGAAGGAGGAGTAATGACTCTGTGGATATGTTTTCTGTATAGTAGTAAAGAGATAGATTTATCGCCTGTATTATTTATTATTATTAATAAATAAATATATATATTTTTTATTCTTACATCACAAGTTGGGAGAGAAATAATAATAATAACAATAATGAAAAAGAAAAAAAAAAAAAAAACTCCTTTCTTTTGGATATATCTTTATTATATGTATATATCTGTATGTGTGTATATTTGCTTTCTCTTGTCACTATACAAGTGTTAATTTTTTTTTTTTCCTTTTTTCGCCTCTCTCTCTCTCTCTCTCTCTCTCTCTTTCTCTCACCTTTTATCTGTACATTAAAGGCCAAGGGAGTTGGCACCCACCCATCCAATTAAAAGTAAATACACACAATAGATCTGGTGCCTTAATTGGTGTTTAACAGTAACACAGGTGAGAGAGACCGACTCTCGCTTCTTGCGGTTTTGGAGCTTTCTGTGCGTGTTTTTTTTTTTTTTTCCTTTTTCATTTTATTGTCTTTCTTCTTCACTCTGTGTGATTTTCCCTTTTCCCATTATTTGTATATTTCCCTGTTTGTAATTGATATTATTATTATTATTATTATTATTATTATTATTATTATTATTATTATTATTATTATTATTATTATTATCTCCGTATGCGGCATTCGGATGTTCTTCCGCGACAGAGCACGAGAGAAGTGATGACTGAGGCGGACGAGTTGTCAACATCTGAAGGAGACGAGCGGCGCGGGCGCCTGGAGGAACTGCGGCAGTTGGAGCAATCAATAGAAACAGCCGCCGGCGTTGTCTTTCAACAACATCTTGCAATTCTGCGTTTAGATCGCGAGATACTTTTCGCGGAGAAAACACATAGACATCTTCACACAACAGAGAGGAATCAAGCCACTCGTACAGCCTTTACACAACAGTTACAGGATGTGGAGGATCATTTGGCTCAAGAGACGAATAAATACATTCGAGTCTCTAATGTAACGGCACTTTACTTTCTTAATAAGAAACAATACTCTCGTGCACTGCAGATGTTATTAAAAGTAGAAGGGATGCTGCAAAAAGGCACTGGAAAGTGGTTTCCATTCCTTCAAACAACGGAATGTATAGTACAGAATTCTAAAGGTTTTATTCAATCTGTGGAAGATCCATATTTAAAAGATGCGGAATGTGTACAAGAGATTTGTGTTCCTTTCTTTACAAAACGTCATGAGAAGATGCGACAACTCGCTTTGGCGGTTGTGGAAAATAATATTGGTCTGTATCATTTTAAAATAGCCGAGTATGAATTAGCCGGTCAACGTATGACCCGTGCTCTTCAGTTGGAAGAAGTTTTAGGTGTAGAAACAATTGGAGTCACTTATTTCAATTTAGCCCAAACTCAATATGAACTAGGTTGTGTGGAAGAGGCTTTTTCCACTATCAGCTTAGCAGAGGAGGCGATTGAAAAACGTATATACGATGGACGAACCCAGCGGAATAATCTCCGCCGAATAGCCCAACATCAGAGTGCACTTCCCGCTACTACTATACCAGGATTAGAAAGACGTGTATTGGATGTTTATCTTGGTTGGCGTGAGGCGGTTTGTTTACTCTCACGGGTGTTAGATATGCATGGACAATGGTTAGAGGAAAATAAAGCCTATAAGGCGGCAATGCATCGATATGAACAGAGTGAACGTTGGATCTCATCTGTAAAGCGACAGAGTGTAGAGGAGAAATCATGGCGAGAGGAACTGCAGCGACGAATGCAGGAATGTAAACGTCGTTTACGGCATGGTGGTTGTGTGCCTAAACCACCTGTTGTGTTATCATCATCATCAACAACAACAACAACAAATGCGGGTATTTCTTTTTCTTCTTTTACAGCTGCTGCGGGAAAGCCAAAGAGTATTATTGTGACGACTACACTTCCACGTCGAGTGGAGATTGCGTTTGGGATCACACCTTCTCTACTGGAAGATGACAATGAAGAAGAAGAAGAAAGAGAACAACAACAAACAGATGGAATACGAAGAAGGAAAAAAAAGACACAACCCAAACACTTTCAACATAGAAAATATCCACAACAACCAAAAGATCGACCAACACGTTATACTGATATGAATGGTCTCTCTGCCGCCACTTCACTTCCCTGTAAACAAAGTGACCAGTCGGAGACTCTCACAAATGACAGTCGTGGGAGTTCACATCATCTTCGGTATACTCCACACCGGCCAGCGTGGGATTCAACCACAACTATCAATCGTCGAGAGGAACGACGTGCGGCTTCACGTCCAATAAACACAATAAACACAAACAACATTCCAACAACAACAACAACAACAAGAGTGAACGTCAACACTTCATCGGATCCACAGACATCATCACATATCATCAACTCAACCTGTAATACACCACTCGCACAAAAAATAGCAGCAGTTGAACGGCATTCAAGAAAACATACACATCATCATCATCATCATCATAATAGTGATAATGATAATAATGGTACGGCAAACATAAATGTACAGACAACGCCTAAAGTGGGACCACCACGATGTGAACGTGAAGGCCTCTTATTCCGCCGCACACGAACAGACCTGCAGACATCCACATCAACAACCTCCACTAACACTACTACTAACACGACAACAACATCAGTGCCATCATTGGCGCGGTGTATTCACATTTTACAAGCCTTTGCACGTGCACAACTCTCATGTTTGGAACGTGATTGGCGTGCAACCCCCTGCGGCCATGTACATGTTCCTTCTTTTTCTCCTTTATCATCATTGGCGACTTCTTCACCGGTGAGTGAGGGGCCACAGTGTAAAAACCCTACACTTCGCTTCCATTCAAGTAGTGATCGCTCCACTGAGCATTGTGGTATCTCCAACACCACAGCCCCACCACACACAAAAGTGTATACAAACAAAGGGGAGATTGTGTTGGCCTTTTTCGCAGCACGTCGTTCCGCTCTTCTGAGTTTTCAGAAACACTTGGAGCAGAAATATATGCAAATTATGAAGGGAGTGCCACGGGAAATTGCGGCTTCTATTGGACTAGCACAAAATATGGAAGTTGAGAATAAGGCAAGAGAAGAAAAAGAAGAAAAAGAAGAAAAGAAACAAATCATGCCACAGACGGCTAGTGTGAATGGGATTTCACATATCACCTATGAAACTCCAACAAAGAGTTCATTAGGCAACAAGAATAATGGTTTAGAAGAATGTTGCGAAATGGAAGAAAAACCAACGCAGAGTGAAAATTATAAAAACAGTAATGGCGTCTCTGAAGAAAGATATCAAAGGCGGTACAACTCACTTCTTCGTATGGGACCTAGAGTAGATGTGGAGATGAAAGGCTACAACCACAATCACAATGATAACAACAAAAATAATAATAATAATAATAATAATAATAATAATAATAATAATAATAATAATAACGCTACTGCCCTTAATGGGCAATTAAACGGTATCCCAATATCCATCTCTTCTCAAGCTGCAACGCTTGACCCTCATTCAAATATTTCTCTGACTCCACATGTATCTGAAGATTCATGTAGTCGTAATGGAGTAACAGATGATTCCGCCCCATCATCACGACGAATGATTATTAGTAAAGATTCTGATCGCTCACGTCTAACTGGAAATGATGTACAAAAGAATACTGGTATCCCTCGTGTTATTTTTAGTCGAATTCCTAGTGGTTTCGCATTTACAGATTGTTTTAATGGCGGTGGTGTGAATAGAGAAGAGTCCTACCATAATAGGAAGAGTCGACTAAAGACACGAAACCCCATTTATGGTCAGGTATCCTCCTCCTCCTCCTCATCGTTGTTAACAAATAGTGAAACCACAACAAGTACGGCCCGAGCGACAACAGAACTTATTAAACAACGCATTCTGAGAGAAGAGGCGGCAACGATCATTCAAAATGCATGGCGCTGTTGGAAGGCACGCAGACAATATGAGGCAGTACGACGACTCATTTATAGATGAACCAGGAAAAATAAAAGAGAGAGATATAGAGAAGAGATAGAGAAGAGAGAAAGAGAAGGGGGAAAAAAAATTTGAGACAACCATGAAAAGATTATTATTTATAAAAAAAAAAAAAAAGAAAAGAAAGAAAACGAAAATAAGGAAAAAAAAAGAAATAGAGTTGGCTGAGTATCAGATTGCTTTTCGTGGTATTGTTTATTATTATTATTATTATTATTATTATTTCTCTGCTTCCCCTACAGTCTTATAGATGTTGAAACTGTATTGACGAATTTTTCTTTTCGTTTCTTTTCCTTTCGTTTGAATTTGAATCCTTTTCTTTTTTTTTTCTTTTTTTTCCCCCCATTCATTGGTAAATGGAATAATTACGATTTTTCAGCCATGGTGGTTGTAATGTTTCTCTACTTCCACCATTTATAATGGGCTATATGTTTACTGAGTGAAGACGATACTGACAAAGTTGTCAGCAAACGCATATATATATATATATATATATATATATATATATATATATTTGTTTATTTATAAAAAGAAGAAAAAAAGAAAAAGAAGAGAAAAGAGTCTTCTTCCTTTTCCTTGTTACTGTTTATGTGTTTTGAACCCCGATTCTGGTATAACTACACTTCAATACTCCATTTGTTAATCACATTCTTTCGTTTTTTAAATATATATATTTTTTCTTCTTTGACCCATGCGCTTTTTTTTTTTTCTTCTTTTTTACTTTACCCATTTTTCTTTTTTTTTTTCTTCTTCTAATAACTCAGTACAGCATCAAAAAAAAAAAAAAAAAAAAAAAAAAAAAAAAAAAACTGGCCTTTTCTTGTTCACAATTAAAAATATCACCAAATGGTGGACAGTGCCGTTAATGCCAAGCAGTTACCATTGCCAATGGAACCATCGTCATTGTTGTTGCGATCACCACCAGTGGTAATTATCGTAGGTCAAGACGTTGATGCTTCCGCTATGCCTTTAACATACGAGCGCAATCGCCTTCTCACCGATTTGCTACGTCATTATTCTTGTCCTCCTTTTTTATGCAAAACAAATATGGAAAATAAAAAACCTTTTTCAAGTGAAGTTTTTGAATGGTTTTCAGATCTTCTCCCTGTAGTTGGGACAGAAGATATGACGAAATTCCATGAGGAAAATTATGTACGATATTTGTCTCTTCGTGAGACCATGTCTGATGTGGATGAAGAAGCCACTGCTCTCAAACGTTTTAGGGCAGATGAAATTCAACCTCCTGTCTCAAGAAGGTATTCACAACAGTCTAGACCTCCACCACGTCAAATGCCTGATCTCGTGCCTATTGCACAAGATGAAGAGTTTAATTTAATAGGGGATAATGCACCATTTCTGGGTATGTGGAGAACAATTCAAGCCACATTATCAGGAACCTTAACTGCAGTTCGTTTACTTGCTCAAGAAGAACGTTTTGCAGCCATTCATTGGTTTGGGGGTAGACACCACGCCAAACAAGGTAAAGCAGGGGGTTTTTGCTTTATAAATGATGTAGTTCTTGCAATTTTGGAAATTCAAAGTCTTCTTCCATCATCTAAGAAGCGTATTATTGTGGTTGATATAGATGCTCATCATGGTGATGGTACTCAAGCTGCATTTTTATTTGATGATTCAGTTTTAACATTATCTATTCATGCTTATGGTATTGGAATATATCCTGGAACAGGATCTCTTGATGAGATTGGTGGTGGTATTGGACGTGGGTTTACAATGAATCTTCCTTTACCAGAGGGATCTACAGACAGTCTTGCTGTTCCATTAGCTTGTCGAGCCATTCTTTCTGCATTTCAGAGAGTAGGTGATGAGTTGGGAGCTGTCATTATTGTTTGTGGATCTGATGCTCTTTGTGGAGATCCATTAGGATCTCTTAATCTTAGTATAGGTGGAATGCAATTTATAATTAGGGAGTTACTTATTGCAGTAGCTCGTAGATCACTTAAAGTACTTATCCTTGGAGCTGGTGGATATGTGGATGTAAGTTGTGCTCGCCTCGCAGCAGTCGTTACAAGAGATGTTCTTAGTTGTGCGAGTGCACTTCAACGTGGCGATACGAATTATTTTCGAGATTCCCCTGATCTCTCTACTAATTTTGGAGTTCATGTTCCTGAGGATTCCGAATACTTCACCCGTTACGGTCCCTCATTTCTTATGCATGGCCTTCCACCAGCGCGTCTGCTGAAAGTACGACAAATTCCACCAGACTCCGAATTGTTTGCACGAATGAGACGTATTGCAGAAAAGAAAAGTGTAAAAGCCTCTAGCGAAAACCCAAGAGAAAGCAGTAGCAGCAGCAGCAGCAGTAGCCACAGTACGCATACTGACGAAGAAGAAGAGGAAGATGATGAGGTAGTGGAAGTGGAAGAATATGAAAGAGAGGAAGAAGAAGAGATAGAGGAAGCAGAGGAAAAAGAAGAAAATGCTGATGTTAATAGTAATGATAATATAAAAGAAAAAGAGGAGAATGGAAAGGTTAAGAAGAATGCATCAAATGTCGAACGGAAGGAAAAAGAAGAAGGAGGAGGAGACATTGAAGGATTCTCACAAACTTATTCATCTGATCTAGTAATTCAAATCTTGTAATGCCTTTTTGAGTTTTCTTGCAAATCTTCAACACTATAAAAATAAATTTTCTTGGGTACAATTTTTTTCTTTTTTTATTGTTTTTATTTTTCCCCTCTTACTTTGGAATTGGGGTCTTTGGTTCCCCCCCTCCCCTCCACCTTGTTTCTTTGCTTTTTTTTTTTTTTCTCCTATTTCTATCCAATAGGTACGTCTTCCTTTATTCTTTTAACGCTTCAATCATTTCTTCACTTAACTTATTTTTACCTTTCTCCCTTTTCTCTCTCTCTCTCTCTCACTCTCTTTTTTTTTCTTTTTCTTTTCTCCAAGTTAACACATCTTTTTTATTTTTCTTTTTTCTTTTGTTTACATCTTCACCAGAAAATGGCAGTTACTATTGGTGTTTCATTCGATCTTTTGGGTTCTTTGATCGCGGTTCACCCGTCTGCAGGTCATCAATATGCCATCGACATGGTAAAATTTCTGGAGAAAAAAGGTATACGTGAGCCAAATATAAATATTGAGATTTTAGATGCAAACGCTTTTCGTGCTTTAAAGACAGAACTTACAAATGATCGTGCAAAGTGGGTTTCACAAGGATTGGGTGAAGCTAAAATGATGCCAATTGGGGGAACTACAGAGGAATCTGTATTGGATTTCTGGTCTCGCGTTATTCATCGTTCATTTGATGACGATGGGGCCTTCTGTAATTATGATAAGAGAGTAATGTCTGTTTTGCAAGAGTCAAGTAATTCCCCTGAATGGAATGAATTTTTAAAAAGTGTTTTTGAAAGATTTGCAACACCGGAGCCATACCGCTGGCTTCCTGAAGCACTTCCTACACTTTCTGCACTGGAAGAATGGAGAGGACATAAACATTCCCGTGGGATTAAGTGCACACCTCCAGCAATATTGACCAACGCCGATTATCGTTTTGTCTCTGTTGTAAAGGAGATGGTGAAACAACATAGTAATAAACCTTTGATTGGCTCTTTATTCTCAGCTGATAGGGTTGGTGTTGGTAAACCATCTGCGCGAGGAATTTCTTTGGCTTCTAAAGCCTCTGGAGTTACATCGATGAAACATTGGATTCATGTTGGAGATGGGGAAGAAGATCGTTTGGCTGCAGAACGGGCTGGATGTCATTTCTTGCATTGTTCACCCACAAAAGGCCCTGAATGGGCACGGCTGCGAGGAATGTTAGAGGAAGTATGTGGTAGCGTGGATAAACGAGTTTCTGTTGCTACCTGATAATACAGGGAACAACTACAAAAGAAAGCAAAATAATAAATCAAAAAAAAAAAAAAAAAAAAAATTTTTTTTTTTTTTTTTTTTTCTCCTATTTAATCTCTTGATATCTCTGTCTGTGGCAATTTCTTTTTGACATGAGGGATTCTTGTCAGTTCAAATTTCTGAGGTTCAGTTTCTATTGAGATGAGAGACTATCTGCACAGTATGAGGTATTTTCCTCTCTCTCTCTCTCTCTGGAAATATTATTATGTATTGATTCATCTGGAACTTGGGAATCCAAATTACTTGGTATTTTCATGCATTTTTTATCATCTTCGTCTCTACTACGCCGAGAAAACAAGTTATTCTCGGAGTTTGTATGCTTCATTCTTTTTTTTTTTTTTTACCCATTATACGTGGTACTTTAAAGTGGTATTAATAATGATGCTATCTTTCTCTGTTGAGTATGTATTCTTTTTTTTTCTCTCTTTCTCTCTCTCTCTCTATATATATATATATATATATATATACAGGTGTAGGGCAAATATGATACGGCAGAGTCTGGAGGTGGTGCCCACTGTGCAGCCAAAGCACCGCCTCGAGGAGGATGCCCGTCGAGCAGCAAGACGAGAACAACAACACGATAAACCAATTAGTGTAGATCGATACACCATTGTATCTAGTCCAGAGGCAGCCACCGGTGTGCGACTCTTCTCACTGCTCCCATCACCAGAACTACAGTCACGGGTACCAAAAACACTACATGTATTGGAAACATCTAAAAAGACGTGGAAGCGTGTGCGGCGAATGGTTTACCGGGCCACTCTACGCAATGTGAATCCCGACGAGGATACCGAAGATGATGAAGATGAGGATGAAGCCGACGGTAGTGGACCTCGTTTCAGTTCTTTGCCATTGCCAGAGTATGAAAATATGTCCTGTATTTTTCTCACACTTCCCACAGAAGAGGAAACGAGTGAAACTGCAACTCGTGTGGTCTATGCAAAACCACTTGATGTGCCTTTACACGCCCTCCGCTATGAACGCACGGAAGCGGCAAAACCCGGTCAAGGCATTTCTACTTCTTGGTACTCTGGCGTTGATGTTCGTAATGTGGGATTTAAGCGGAGTTACATTGACGATGATGAGGATGATGATGGTAACATGCATCGCGGTTATTTCTCTGATGATGGGGCTACAGAAGGACGTCAGGGTGGTTCAAAACGTGAAGATAAGACAGATGGACGTACAGCTGCTGTTGCTGCTAGTAGAAAGAAGAAGAAACTGGAAGAAACCAACAATATACCACTAGAAACAGGAGAAGAAGGAACAGCAGCAGCAGCAGCAGTGGTGGTAGTAACTGAGAATAAGTTAGAACCAAATGGGGTTCTTAAACTTGCTAATAATGATGCCCCTGTCTCTTCTACTGCATCCATAACTCCTCAAACATCAGAGGAAGAAAAGAAGAAGAAAAATCTCATATTACTTGATGGTTCTTCATCTGTTGAAGGAAATGTCTTGGAAAGACTTACCGCCTCTCAGTTGCAGGAATGGTCTGCTGAAGGAAAGGCAGCTATGCCTTTTACGGAGTTAACAAAAATTGTACTCAAGTCTCATCCACATTATGCCGAGATGAAGGCAAAACATCAATCACCTCAGGGCCGTCAGGAGGCTGTGAAATGGTTTAGTGTTTCGCAGATAGCTGTTCGGAAACATGTTCTTCATTTGGGGTATACAATAGATAGTTCAAACAACGTTTATCTTTCACAACAGAAAAAGGGCTAATACACTTTGCCTGGTTTTCTCACCTCGTTGATTTTCATTGTCTTTTCAGATGGTAATAACAAACCAAGATCTGTTGAGGGAGGTGAAGAGTTTTGTGTTCTTGTTAAATAAATGTGTTTTTCAGACGAAAATAAAGCAAAAAAAAAAGAAGAGAAAAAAAGAAAAAGGAAAAATACCAATTATATCAAACTGATTTTCCTTATTTATATTAGAGTTCCCTTTTTTGAATTGTTTTTTTTTTTCTGCTTTTCTTTTTTTTTTTTTTCCTTAGTAACTCTGTATAGCAATGAGCAAAAGTCCATCTAACCTTGACGAGGATCAGAAACAGAAGCTGGAGTCATCTTCTCCTCGTGCCACTGAAACGGCGGCCCCGCCTCCAGTCAAACATTTGGATCCATTGAATTGTGATGATGATGAGGATGAGGCTTACATGCCGCCGTCAACGAGAGAAGTGCGGATCACGACGGCAACACCCTCACAGGTGCAACTACGTAAAGTTGAGCAAGAGCCACCGCATGAAGTACAGATACCGCGTGAAATGAAAGCAAATATGGATGACTTGGAACCTCCACCAGTGCCAGTTTCTGTTCTCGCCATTACTCCCACTAGAAGTAATGATAGCCAAAATGTAAGTGCTAATGCTTCGCAGAAGAAGGTCAGTTTTAGTACTTTAAACTTGTCCGATTCACGCAGTGCCAATGATACTTCAGGGGCAGAAATAAACAAAAAGGCCGGTATTACAGTGGAGGTAACAACCGATGGGGTTTTGCATTCTGAAGAACTAGACCCGAGAGAACTCGCTCGACTATATGCACAGCAGCAAGCTGCTCTTCGATCTATCCGTGGAGAATTTGATATTCTTTATGTTCCTGATTGGGTTCGTCTACATCCTTTACTAGGATCTTACGTGGCGGAAGCATTTGGCACTTTTGCTTGTGTACTAACTCTTTCTTTGGTAAGCGTTCGAAACCAAAGTATATTTGATACTAAAGATGAAACGAATATGACTTCACTTCCAATTGGATTTATGTTTATGTGTATGGTATTTACTTTTGGATATATATCTGGTGGACATTTTAATCCTGCAGTTACTATAGCAGTGTTTTTAGTACGAAAAATTGATGTTATGCGAACTTTTGCATATTTGGTATGTCAAACAGGAGCAGCATTAGGTGCTGGATTGGTGGCAATGGCAATTCAAGGAAGTACAGAAGTTTTTGTTCCTAAAGTAGATCCTTTATATGTTTCATCCGGTATTTTTTCAGAACTTATATATACCTTCGCTATAGCTACAGTAGTACTTAACGTTGCCTATTCAAGACAAAGCGGAAATTTCTTCTATGGATTTGCTATTGGAATGACGATTGCAGCTGGTTCTGCTGCCGTTGGAAGAATATCTGGAGGTGCTTTTAACCCAGCTGCGGCAACTGGACTTCAATTGGCTTTATGTCTCACTGGTGATTGTGATCCGTTGGCATCCTTTTGGGTTTATTGGATGGCCCCACTTGTGGGATCTGTGCTTGCTTCTATTCTATACTCTCAGATTACGCAACCAGAGGACACACATGCTCTCACTGACGCAGAAGTACTACAGACGAATGAACCCCCAAGGGAAGAAAATCAACTAGCATAACGACTTTCCCCCCCCCCTCTTCAATTACCTACAAAAAACCTTCTGTTTTCTTTCTTTGTGTTTTTTTTTTTTTTTTTGTTGTTGTTGTTGTTGTTGGTGTATGTAGAGAAAAGAGGAGGTTTTTGTAGGTTTTTAGTGCGATCGAGTACGGAATCAAAGTGTAAAGCAACAAAAAAAAAATAATAAAATAAAAATAAAAAAAGAACAATCATAAGTAAAAATAATCAGCAGTAAAAAATGATTAGGAGAGTCAAGATAAGCAAAGAATTTTTCTTTTTTAGTTTTTATTTTTTTTTCTTTCAGTAGGTATATTGTTCTTTTCTTTGGTGTCTGTGTATGTGTGTGTTTTGTTATTGTTGAAACACTTTTTCAGGTATTGAGTCTAGTTCGAGTTAGAATTGACAAGAGAAAGAACTTATGCATGAAAACCCATTAATGGAGAAGCGGAACTCTTAGGAGAGGTGGAAATTCCTCAAGTGTCTTTTTTTTTTTTCTTATATAAATGTCTATTCGTATCTTGTTGGTTGTGATGGTTGTTATTTAATGGTGTATTTCCCTGGATGGCTCTCTCTCTTTCTCTCTCTCTCTCTCTCTATATATATATATATATATATATATGTATATGTATGATATTGTTGATTCTTTTTCTTCCTTTTTTTCTTTTTTTTTCCTGGTTTTTTACGCGAGACATAGAGACTGGTGACAAAGACAAACCCGTGTCTTTTTTTTTTTTTTTTTGCCCGTGTTTGTGTTTCTCCACATTGTAGAAATACAAAAAGGAAGGAAAAGAAAAACTAGTAGAGAGTAGTCTAATCTATTTTTTTTTTTTTTTCTTCTCCTTTTCACTGAGAGAGGAATACAAATGGAGGGAGAAATAGTGTCCATGGAGGAGCGGTCGTATCTGGCCCGCAAACTTCCTCTAATTAAGTTATCTGCTTACCAGGCACGATTCATCTGCGAAGGTATAGGAACTTTTATTCTTGTCATGACCATTTCCATGGCGGAGGTGAATTGCGGTATTAGTTCCATTAATGGTAAGAATCGAACACGTAATCTCGCTCCAGTGGCTGAAGGCTACATGCTGTGTGTGTTGGTATTTACTTTTGGCTACATCTCTGGTGGTCATTTTAATCCTGCCGTTACATTTGCAGTAATGCTTATTCGTGCTATACGAGTGGAGGAGGCAGTGGCCTATTGGATTGCGCAAGTTATTGGCGGTATTCTTGGAGCCGTCGTTGGTATTATCGTAAACGGTTTTCCACGCCATTTGCCAGCCCCACAGGTTTACAAAAATATGCCAGGATACGTTTTTACAGGATTTATTGCAGAAGCCCTTTTTACTGGATTTTTGGTGACTGTCGTTCTCCATGTTGCGTACTCCAAACAACGTAATCATCATTACTATGGATTGGCTATTGGTATGTGTCTTCTTGCGGCTGGTTACTCTGTTGGTGGTATCTCTGGTGGTGCCTTTAATCCCGCTGTTGCGACTGCACTTCAATTGACTAAATGTATTGCGGCTGGTTACTGTATTCCACTCATGCATCTTTGGCTTTATTGGGCCGCCCCTGCGGCTGGCGCAATGGGAGCATCACTGCTATTTAAGATGACACACCCAGCACCAAAGGAAACGGAGGAGGAAAGACAACAGAAGGCACTACAGCGTTCTGCTCGGCACTTGTACGGTTCGTAAATGGCGAAAATGAATATATATATATATATATATATATATATATATATATATATATATATTGTTTTTGTAGATAAAACTGCATTACAAAGGAAAGGAAATTAAAGAAGCGAACGAATTATTCTCCCCTCTCCTCTACTCTCTCCTCTCTCTTCTCTCTTACCCCATAAAGGGATATAGTAGGTACCATATGAGCAGAAACAAAAAAAAAAAGGGAGTGGGGAAAGAGTAGAGATATGTCTTTAGGGAACTCCAAGAAGCATATCGCTTCCTTTATATATATAATATGTTTTTGTTCGCGTCACGAAACATGAACACAGTAGTATATACAAGTTGAAGAAGAGAAATGAGTGACAGGAGTGAAAGAAAAAATAATTTTTGAGAGTTCTTTCTTCTTCGGTTTCCCCGTTTTTTTTTTTTTTTTTCTTTGTATATATATGTATATATATGTGTCTGCGTTTGTCTTTCTTTTTTTTCCTACTAGGACATTCATGTAGAGAGGGGAAGGGTAATACAAAAGGTAAAAATAAATAAAACACAAAAGTTAAAAGAATTCAAAAAAAGAAAAAAAAAAGAACAGATCTATATCTCGATAGATATATATATGGGGGAAAAGGACAATGGACGCTGTAAAACACCAATATCTTGCGTTTCAGTAGATCCTTCATCTGTATTTTCTTCATCTACGCACATAAACGAAACGGCGTGGATATCACAAGTTGTATTGTTATTTTTTAAACGTCTAGCTTCTGGGGATGATCTCCCAGAAGTTCTCTGCCACATGCGTGGACAACTGAATAAGATACCCATAAATAAGGTATTGGATAAAAATTTATCATCATCATCATTACCACTAACTGATGACAAACATGAAGAAGTAGTGGGTAATGAGTTGAAAGAACCACCACGACAGGAGGTAGAAGTGCAGCCTAACATTAGTCAACAAGATGCATTACTATTAAGTCGTGCTGCACGAACGGCACTTTTTTTCTCTGTTGAGAGTGACAAGGCACAGGAGGAGGTGAAAAAACTATTGTATGAGCCAGTTGTAGCTCAGGCAGTTCGTCAAGCTCCTTTGCATCTTCAGAGTGCCTCGTTTCCACTTCCGTCTAAGTATGAATATATGTTAAGCAATCGTGCTGCAGTGAGTTATGCACGAAAATGGGCACGCGAGGGTCGATGGGATTGGGGACTGCAATTACTCGCAAATGTCACTCCAACTCCAGTAACAATGGCAGCAGGAACCGAGTTATTTAGCCAAGCCGGTCAATGGGATATGGCTATACGTTGTTTGAGTACAATACCATCAGTGGAGTGGACAGAGGTAGAAGTTTCGGCAGCTATTCGCAGTTTATACCATGCCTCACAGGGACGTTCTCATATACTAGAAAATAAATCAACGATATCAGAAAGTACAACATTGAAATCTACAAAAATGAGTGCTATGTCTTCTGATAACTGGAAATTAGCTCTACATATTCTCTCTTTGTGTGTTAAAAATGGTGTACAACTTAGCACACCTTCATCTATAAATGATATACTGGGTATGCTTGGAGTTAGAGGGCAAGATTGGATAACTGCCTGTAATCTTGTAGAAAACATGATGCTAAACAAAAATGAAAATGAATTATGTAAAACATCAAATGGTAACATACGCCCGAATGTAGTGTCAATCTATCATATGTGTCGTGTACTTCGGCGTCAATAGCATCTAGCACTTTATTATGCTTCATTAATGGTTTATAAGGGTGATATATGTATAGCTGATGATAATGAAGTAATGGAACGCCTTTTAAGACTTTGTGTTACTGGAAATCGCTGGGCAGAAGCATTAAGCACCCTTCAAGTTCGTCTGGAAGGGAATTTAGATGATGAAAAAAGAGAAAATTTTGATTTTGTTACTATAAATACTTTTCTTGATGTTTTACGTATGCTTAAAGAATGTCAAAAGGGTTCTCTTGCATCACGACTTCTTCTCCAGACGCAATTATCGAAGCATTTTAGCAAAGATACAACAGGAAAAGCGTATAATGTGATGTTACGGTACAGTAACACCACTGCCGAAGCGCAGTTGTGGTTACAAACAATGAAATCTAAAAACATATCGCTGGAAAATGAGTCATGTGAGCACTTGCTCATTATGCATGCCAGAGAAGGTGAATGGCATCAATCATTGAAGTTACTTAACCTCCTTCTTGATGATCCAAAGCGCCGTTCTCTTTACATCCCTTCGGCTAAGGCACACGACGCAGTACAGTACGCCTTGGAGCGTGCTCCAATGCCAGGTCCTAGTTGGGAACTGTCATTGCAACTTTTTAGTCGTATGTGTACTTTGCAAGTACCTATTTCAGAGGTAGCTTTTCAGTCCGTTGTGAAGAAGTGCTTTGCACATGGAATGGACAAACAAGCCCAAAATTTATTTCAGTTTGTGATGAGGCATGGAGTTCACAAGTGAGTTTGGGGTAAATTATATCGCATTCTCTAAAGATGGTACGACGGTACGTTCGTGTTTTTTTTTTTTTTTTTTTATGTGATCTTTTGAATTTCTGTTTGGTATACTACGCAACTCCTGTTACATTGCTCTGTTATTTGTATCTGGCCTTTCTTTTTGCTTTTAGGGTTTTTCTTTTTTTTTTTCTGTGTACCGTCGTATAACGAGAAGAAATTTGGAAAGCAAGTGAGAAAAAATGAGTGGCTTTGGTGCGGCGATGGGGGCAGCTTCTGGCAACAGCGGCTTTGGTCAGCAACTGCCTACTGGTGCTGCGGTCGGATTTGGAGGAAATACCGCTATGGGAGGCGGAGATATGGCTGCTGCTCCATTCGGTGGAAATACAGGTGTCACACAGGGTTTTGGGACTACAAATACAGCAGCATTCGGGACCGCTCAGGCTGGTGCTGGCTTCGGTGCCCCGTCAAATGCAGGAACATTTGGCAACGCCCCAGCTGCCGGTGGGTTCGGCGCAGCGGCTAACACAGCGGCTCCTGCTACTGGGGGATTTGGTACTGCTGGAGGATTTGGCGCAGCGGCTAATACAGCAGCTCCCGCTACTGGAGGATTTGGTACTGCCGGTGGATTTGGCGCAGCAACCAACACAGCAGCTCCTGCTACTGGTGGATTTGGTACTGCTGGAGGATTTGGCGCAGCGGCTAATACAGCAGCTCCACCTTCCGGGGGATTTGGTACTGCCGGTGGGTTCGGCGCAGCAACCAACACAGCAGCTCCTGCTACTGGAGGATTTGGTACTGCTGGAGGGTTTGGTGCAGCAGCTAATACAGCAGCCCCTGCAGCTGGTGGGTTTGGTACTGCCGGTGGATTTGGCGCAGCAACCAACACAGCAGCTCCTGCTACTGGGGGATTTGGTACTGCTGGAGGGTTTGGTGCAGCAGCTAATACAGCAGCCCCTGCAGCTGGTGGGTTTGGTACTGCCGGTGGATTTGGCGCAGCAGCCAACACAGCAGCTCCCGGTACTGGAGGGTTTGGTGCAGCAGCTAATACAGCAGCCCCTGCAGCTGGTGGGTTTGGTACTGCCGGTGGATTTGGCGCGGCAGCCAACACAGCAGCTCCTGCTACTGGAGGATTTGGTACAGCAGCCAACACAGCAGCTCCCGGTACTGGAGGGTTTGGTGCGGCAGCTAATACAGCAGCCCCTGCAGCTGGTGGGTTTGGTACTGCCGGTGGGTTTGGCGCGGCAGCTAATACAGCAGCTCCCGCTACTGGTGGGTTTGGCACAGCAGCTAATACAGCAGCTCCTGCAGCTGGTGGGTTTGGCACAGCAGCTAATACAGCAGCTCCCGCTACCGGTGGGTTTGGCGCAGCAACCAACACAACAGCTCCTGCTACCGGTGGATTTGGTGCTGCAGCCACAGGCACTGCATCTAGCACAGCAGCTCCCGCTACTGGGGGATTTGGCGCAGCAGCTAATACAACAGGTCCCGCTACTGGAGGATTTGGGGCTGCAGCTAACACGACAGCTCCCGCTACCGGTGGGTTTGGCGCAGCAACCAACACGACAGCTCCTGCTCCTGGTGGATTTGGTGCTGCAGCCACAGGCACTGCATCTAGCACAGCAGCTCCCGCTACTGGGGGATTTGGCGCAGCAGCTAATACAACAGGTCCCGCTACTGGAGGATTTGGGGCTGCAGCTAACACGACAGCTCCTGCTACCGGTGGATTTGGGGCTGCAGCCACAGGCAGTGCATCTAGCACAGCAGGTCCTGCTACTGGGGGATTTGGTGCTGCAGCCACAGGCACTGCATCTAGCACAGCAGCTCCCACCACCGGGGGATTTGGGGCAGCAACTAACACAGCAGCACCCGCTACTGGGGGATTTGGTGCTGCAGCAACAGGCACTGCATCTAGCACAGCAGCTCCCGCTACTGGGGGATTTGGTACAGCAGCTAACACGGCAGCTCCTGCTCCTGGTGGGTTTGGCGCAGCAACTAGCACAACAACTCCTGCTACCGGTCCGTTTGGTACTACAACAACGGGCACTGCATCTAGCACAGCAGCACCCGCTACTGGTGGGTTTGGTGGTTTTGGTGCGACTCCTGCAGCAGGAGCAGGGGAAAAGAAATTGGGGACTGGTACGACTAGTGGTACTAGCATAGCTGCTGCCCCTGGCAGTGGGGGAATCGGTTTTGGTAGTTCGGTTGCTGGGGGTCCAGCGAGTACTACAGGAGAAACGGCAAACGCTACAAATCCGGGTCTGACAGCGATGAAGAGTGATACCGGGGTGGGTATGCGTAAACCGGCTTCTGAAGAGCTTAAAGGAAAAATGCTTTCCTCCATTCTTGCACAATTTGATGAGTCCTTTTCTAGGGACTACCATGACTTTCACAGACTCTCACAACTCATGCTGGTGCGAGATCGACAAATCGTTGAGCGTGGAGATGAAATTCTCGCGTGTAGGGCCTATCTGGATGCTGCTATCTCCTCCGCAGAGGCCTCGAAACAGGCATTTGCTGAGCTAAAGAACAAGCAGAATGCAATTACGGCAATGATGCAGCGTTTAGAGGACGCCGTTAAACCTATATATGCAAAGGTACAGCCACAATTCACGAAGGCAGACGAAGCGCGTGAGGCGACATATGCTTCGGCGATTAGCCTTTTCGATGAAGTTGAGGCACTACGGTTACGGCTGCTGCAGTGTGTGGGACAGCACAACCGTTCACTCCGGCAGTTACGCGAGAGTGACGACTTGGAGAAAGTTGCTGGTCTCGTTGACTACCAGCTGAGTGCACTGGAAACCTGTGCAGGGAAGGCCGAGGAATTGGAACACGAGATCGATTTATTGTTGGGGAAGCCACCGGCAATGTGACCTAGTGGTGACAGCAACAGCAGCATGACAGTGAATAGATTATTCCTTCTTTACCCTATATATATATATATATTTCTACTTGTTTGCGTTTGTTTTTTCTTCGTTCTATACCTCTATGTTGGAGAAGCGGTTTGTTGTGCAAAGTGAGAGAAGGATGAAATTATTATCCCGGAGATGGGTACTATTTCTTGCAATTGGGGGTCTATTAAGAGTCCAGAGGTAGCCGGTAGGACATGTGCACAGTTGAGAATTGTGAGTGTGTGTCTATGTGAGAAGGAGGTAAATAGAAAGAAAGTGAGAAAATAAAAGGGCGGAAGAATGGATTGTGTGGAACGATTTATGTGACCTTTCGTGGTGCTCTTCTTGTGCTTTCTGCTTATAGTAGGAGGAGAAAAAAAAAAAGGAAACAAAGTTGGAGAAAACGACAGAAAAAAGTTAAAAAAGAAAAACAACATCAAGATCAGTAGGGTGCGCTGAAACCAGACTGAGGAAGAAGAAAAAGGAAAGAGTGGTATATATATCATAAGAAATCTGTTCTTCTTTAAACCGATATAATTTCAAGATTTTCAGGGATAACGAATTTTTTTTTTTTTGTGTTGATTTTATTTTATACATATCGTTGCTGTTTCATTTTTTCTTTTTTACGCCTAAAATTTCCTTCTCTCTCTCTCTCTCTTTTTTTTTTTTATTCTTGTATTCCGGAACAAAAAAAAAAAAAAAAGAAAGAATAGCAAGGTAAACCACTCTGCAAAACAAAATAATATAATTAATTAAAAAAGAAAGAAGAAAAATATCAATTTACTCATGAAGTTCTTAACCTTTGGTGCTGCGGCAGTATTGGGTGCGGCCTTCCAATCGTACACATCATCACCGAAGTGGGCTGCACAGTGCCGTCAACAAAGTATCTTCGACACAAAGTTTAAGCCATTCGTACTTGGTGAAGTGATTAATCTCGCAGAGGATGTGGCCATTTTCCGTTTTCTGCTGCCCAAGGCAACTGATCAGTTTGACCTCACACCCTGCAGTACACTGCAGGGGTGTTTTAAGGAAGGCAGCAACATTGTGGATCAACCAATGCGATTCTACACCCCCATTACACCGAATGGCACAAAAGGCTTTTTTGACATTCTTGTTAAGAAACAGCCGAATGGTAGGTTTACGGAACATCTCTTCTCAATGGATGTCGGTGAGACGCTTCTCTTCCGTACAGTGCAATACAAACTGCAGTACAAGAAGAACAATTGGGAAGAAGTTGGTTTGATTGGTGGTGGTACAGGCATCTGCCCGTTACTACAATTTATTAACGCCTCACTTGATATGCCAGGTGACACCACAAAGCTTTCACTATTATTTGCAAACAAAACGGAAAATAAGATTCTGCTTAAGGGTATGCTTGAGGAAAAGGCACGCAAGTTCCAGAACCGTTTCAAACTGCACTACACTGTGGATGCACTGGAGAACCCAGAGTCTAGCTCAACATATAAGGGCTATCTGGGTTATATTGATGAACAGATGGTGAAAGAGACAATGCCAAAGCCGTCACTGAAGAATTTGGTGCTCGTGTGTGGTCCAGATCCGATGATGACGAAAGTTGTTGGTTCTTCACCAATGGTGTTGCGGGCGATGAGTGGCGGTCTTGCGTACCAGCCAACTGGCACTGTGCTGAATAATGTCAGCGATGTTGAGGGAATTCTCGGTAAGCTGGGATACACAAAGGACATGGTCTATCGCTTTTAAGAAGGATACAAATGATAGTGATAATAGGGTGGGGAACATCACGAGAAATTACAGGGAGAACAAAGGGAAAAAGAAAAAAGAAAACTGGAGCGGTGAGGAAAGGAAAATGAAAAAAAAGAAAAAAGAAAAAAGAAAACGAAACCAAGCGAAGATGTACGATTATTTATTATTATTATCTGGCACGTAATCACTCCAAGGTGGAAGAAAAGGGGATAGTAGGATGGGGATCAAGAGGACTTATTTTTCGTTTTTTTTTTATTTTATTTATTTCTGTTTCTTGATATTTCTTGGGTAGCAGGGGAGAGGAAGTATATAGGCATTATTATTGTTATTGATTTCGTTTTGGTTTCCCTTTTCTCTATGTATGCTTGTATTTTCATTTTTCTTTTTTTTTTTTTTTTTTTTGGTTTTTCTATGATGTAGAGAAAGAAGACCAATCCATGTTTCTTTTCTCTGACCTCTTCTTTCATTTTTTTTTTTTTTTTTGTTTTGTCCTTTGTTTTCTTTCGTACCCTGTCGTTGATGGAATTGCTCATGCCATACCACAGTGGCTCTTCTTGTATTTCTGTTGGTTCTAGTATGAGATTTTTCTCTTGCCTTCTGTTTGGTAATTATGATGATGAAAGAAAGAGTTTACTCAAGATGGGAGACGATGGTGGTGCTTCCTTGTGAAGTGTCTCCATTGTAGGATTGAGAGGCAGCAACAGGGATAGAGTTGGTTGAAATATAAGTGCATTGCTGGATTTTTCCATTTTTTTTTTCTGTGTTTTATTTGTTTATATATCTCCCAGAAAAGCGTAGAAAATGGGATAGCCAGGCTTTTTGCACTCATTATGGAATCATCAATCTTTCTTACTTAAAAGGGTAAACTCACGCTTTTTTCTTTCTATATATATATATATATATAGTTACCCTATTCATTTGTCTCCTCTATCTTTCCACCCCCCTCCCCCTAGAATTGAGGGAATTGCAGAAGAGTTGTGATAAAAAGATAGGAAAAAAGGAAGTAGCAGTATGCAATGGTTAGACGTAAAGTGACAGCAGATTTAAAGAAAAAAATGATATGGAAAGGGAGAGAGGGGGTTTAAGAAGAAAAAAAAAAAATAGATAATCAAATTACGTTATGAATACGTGCGTATTCCTTAGAAGAAAAACACAAATATGGGAAATCTGTATCCCACCAGCCGCTGATCAAAAAAAAAAAAAAACTGATGTAGGAAAGAAAAACGAAAACAAAGGCGATGCTTTTTTTTTCTTTTTGGTGAGTGTTTTTCACTTTTCTGGAGAAGTAAATCTTTTTTCTTTTTCGTTTTTTAATATGCATTCAGTGTTTTTTTTATTTTTATTTTTTCTTTTACTTTGCTGTTTTAACCACCCCATGTATCGCTCTTTTTTTTTTTCTTTTTTTCTTTCTTTCTTTCTTTCTTTCTTTCTTTCTTTCTTCTTTGCACATTTATGATCGTGGATAGGAATATTAATGAAGAAAAGAAATGCAAACACATCAACAGGCAGTGTGAAATCAACACTGACGAATGATCAAGAAAGCCATGTTCCTGCGGAGAAGCAGAAGTTAATATCCACAAGAACAGATCGTATCTTTTTCTTCTACGCCTCACTGGCTGGTACCTTTGGAGCACTTTCCGCCGTTGTTGGTAAACTCGCCGTGATGGACGACAGCGGAGACGCATTGACAGCATTCACCACAACTATTCTTTCCTTCTTTGGTGTGCAAGAGATCACTCATAGTCACTGGGTCTCTGTAATGCCAATGTTATTATTAGTAACGCGTGGATTGTTATTTGCGGCGAATGCCTTTTTTACAGCACAAATGTGGAGATGGTATTTGAAAGCACTTTCCTGTGGTCCTACACCGGTGTGTCAAATTGTCAATACGGGAATGAATTTTGCGATAAGTGCCTTTCTGGGTCTTTTGATCTTCCATGAGGAAGTTACCATCATGTGGGCGATAGGGGCTTTACTCGTTGTTGTGGGACTTGCGGTAGTTGTGACGGATGATTTAGATAAGGATTCTGTACAGAAGCAGAAATCATAAGAATGACAGTATTGTTTGTGATGATGGATTGTGTATAAAGTGTTGATGTTGTTGTTGTTATTCTTGGATTTCTGTGAAGTAACGAGAGAAATACAGAGTGAGAGTGAAAGATTACTCTAGATGGTATATTAACGACCAATTTCTCTCTCTCTCTTTTTTTTTTTTTCTTTAAGTGTGCTCATATTAAATCAATTTCTTTTCATATTTATTTCTTTTTCCTTAATTGGATCTCTGTGTAGAGGGATACGATTGAAAAGAAGAGTCTGCGGGGTGGTGCTGCTCTCAGTTACTGAAGAGAGACCAAAATCCCATTATATCATTAAATACACACACACACACACACATACATACATACACAGTCAAAGAAAAAGGGAATAAGCCAAAAGCAACAAGAAGAACAAAGAGAACGCAAATAATCATAAGAAGAAAGTTAATATCAACGAATGCCGAGAAAAACACGAAGTCGCACGCCTGCACGTTCAAGGTCGCGGCGCCGTTCCGCCTCCCGTAAACGTAGCGAAACTCCACCACCGAGGCAGCGGCGAACAAAACCGCTTAATCCTCGAACAATGGAATATGAGTGGGGTGGACCTGTTGGGGCATTTGGTATGGTGTTCTTTCTTCCGGCAATTGTACTTGTATTGAATACATTGTGTTCGGAAAGTATGTGTTCTGTTGAAGGAGTGTATGAGCTTCCTGATCTTTTGTATAATACTATCATGGCATCTATTCCTCAACTTCCTCTGGCGCTTGGGATTGAAGTGGCATGGTTGTTCCTACATGCAGTCTTGTACGTTCTTCCTATTGGAAAACGGGTTGAAGGGATGAAGCTAAGAAATGGAGAAACTCTTGTGTATAATATCAATGCGGTTTATGTATTTATTCTTATACATGCCGTTATAGGTGCTTTACACTATCATGGTCTTATTCACTTGGCAGTGATAGCAGATATGTTTGTTCCACTTATGATTGCCTCCATTATTATCTCGGCTGTGATGAGTATTATACTCTACCTGGCATCGTTCCGCTCCGCCTCTGTACTTTTATCGACTGGTGGAAATACTGGAAATCCCGTGTATGATTTCTGGATTGGTCGTGAACTTAATCCACGTACCTTTTCACTGGATTGGAAATTTATGTGTGAATTACGCCCTGGTCTTATTGGATGGAGTTTATTAAATTGGGCCTTTGTAGTGAAGTCCATGGAAACAGGTACATACACCCCAAGTATTCTTATCATTGCAGTGTTGGAGTCCTTATATGTGTTTGATGGACTTTTGTTAGAAGCGGGGAACTTAACAATGATGGATATTGTACATGATGGATTTGGATTTATGCTCTGCTTTGGTGATCTCTCTTGGGTTCCCTTTACATACACACTCAAAACAAAATTCCTCGCCTATCATCCTCTGAATTTAAGTCCCACCTACGTAGCCTGTTGTTGTCTTCTTGCTCTCACTGGTTATATTATCTTTCGTGGTTCAAACAGTCAAAAGAATAAATTCCGCCAAAATCCCCGTGATCCTTCAGTGGCGCATCTTAAAGTCCTGCGCACATCCCGCGGCAAATCACTCCTCATCTCTGGTTATTGGGGTGTTTGCCGACATCCAAACTACGTGGGGGATTGGCTCATGACACTTGCATGGTCTGCCCTCACAGGCACTACAGCACTGTTGCCGTATTATCAGCCGGTGTACTTCGCGGCTCTGCTGATGCACCGACAACTGCGGGATGAGCGGCAAATGGAGGAGAAGTATGGAGAGGCGGATTGGAGGAAGTTCTGCGGTATTGTACAGTATCGTTTGATTCCTTTTATCTACTAAACTAAGCGACTGACACAAAAACTGTACAACCTTTAAACAAATTATTATATATATATATATATATATATAATTTGTCTCTGTATGGGTAGCTTGGTGAGAAAAAATGAAAACAAAAAAAAAGTACATGTATCGGTGGGAAATAGAAGGTGTGAAGGTCCTTTTTTCATTTTATTTTCGAAACTCGGTTCTTAACTAGAAAGGATAGAATGTCTGAGTAGGGAGAAAAGGCAGTAATTGTACATCACGAAGAGTTTGTTTTCTTTTTTTTTTTCTTTTTGAGGGGAGAAAAAACATAGAATGGGAAAACGTTTGAAAGAGCTGGGGCTGTGTGTATGAATGTAGAAAGTAAAACAAATCAAACATCTGTTTTTTGTTTTTTTTGCTCTTGCACGTTGTGTTGTACTCATTGTACCGTGTCTATATGTATATTGGTTTAAACGGAAATGATATTTTTATTGTACTGTCTATTCGAGGAAACACCTAGAAAATGAAGAAATAGTGGTGTGGGCTGGGTGATGGGGAAAAGGGAGGCTTTGAAAAAAAAAAAAAAAAAGGAAAAGAATAGCTTTACCTAATGACAGCAAAGAAAGAGGTTCTTGTCATTTCTTATGATACACATGTTCACATTATTATTTTTTCTTTTCTTTTTCGTATTTTTATTTCTGATGTTTTATGTGTATGTGTGGTCTTGTCTCACAACTTCTCTTAAGGAGGAGATAGAGATAGATAGATAGAGAAACAAAGAGAAAAGAATGAAATGGATTCGACTCGAGGCGACGAGTGGGTTGCGCATCATGGCGCCGTCATTTAGTCCGCCGCCACGCATGGAAGGCATTGATAAATTCTTTGATCATCCAATTCATGCACGAACTTTTCACTGTTTTCGTGACTCAATGGGAACAACGGATTGTAATAGTAGTAGTGATAACAACAACAATAATGAGAAGAATAGTAGTCTTGGCTGTACAGAAGAGATTCTGGTGTTATTGCAACGACAATCCCTTGGAGGTAAATTGGGTGAAGTGACGATTGCGGTTGGGGGAACAGAAGTTTCGCAGGCGGAGTTGGAGGTTCTTCTCGATTGTGCCTTTGAGGCGGTCATGCGTACAAATAATAACGGGGTTCGTCTCCTATTTGATACACTGTGTACATCTTCATTCCCTTATCTCTCTTCTCTGGTTTATTCCACTTCCGCTACTTCTATTATATCATCATCGTCAACAACAATAGCACAGGATGAAGTGGTGGTTGAGTATGATGGACTACCAACAGGGAAAAGAAATACAAACGGTGAACAGCGGCGTATAGGTGATTGGCGTGAAAAGGATGGAATAACATGCAGAGATAATAAAAAGTCTTTGAAAGCCCTACGTGCGGCCTTTGCACGACGTAAGGCACTACTTTACTTTGTAGCTCAAGATGTTGTGCCCGTTAGTTTATTGCACTGTCGGGTGCAAAGTACAACAAAGTCTTATGGATGTACTTCAAGTGTTGCAGATGCTGTACATTCAAGTCCAAAAGATATTCAATCTCTTGCGGTATCTTCCACATGTGCATGTAAGTGTTTATTAGATGTTGTGAACCGTACACTTGCTGCAGCTTATGATATAGGGAATGGTAATCATAAACAGTTGCGAGAGATATGGAGTACGGGTTTTGATAAACCACCATTTATTGCCACTTTTTCTACAAGTGGTATTCTTTTTGCTTCGCCATCTTTTTTTCGTCTCACAGATCACCGTGATCGTTTATTTATATCGGGTTTAGCAATAGATCAATTGTGTCGCTGGTCTGTAGAAGAACGACAAGGACCACGGGTACAAACTTCTCTAGTACATATACATGATCTAATGCTAAAATGTAAGAGAAGTGGTACATTGTTAAATATACTTTTTCTCTCTATTGGAAGTGCCGTATCATGTGTATTTGGTTTTTTTTACTCTGGTGATGCGAATGAAGGGGCATTATGGGGTGCCGCCACACTACGACAGTTTATAGAGAAACATCTTATAACCCCAAGGACGACTGTAACGATTGGTGTAACTGAAAAGATGAAGAGTCCATTAGAAGATACTGATCTTGATGGGGAATTGCATGAAACTGTGGTTTCCTTCGCCCCACACATGTTACTTTGTATGGCATCTGTACATCCAACACCATGGTTTTATCGAATTTTATATGAAATGCGTAAAGTAGAAGAAGAAGCCACACGAGATACCTTATTTGGAATGGATGAAGTACCCAATATTAATAATAATAATAATAATAATAATAATAATAATAATAATAATAATAATAATAATACCGTACCTCCTAAATCACGAGAGCGTTGTAATTATTTTTCACTTTTTTCTCATTGTGGAAGGAGTAAATCTTCTTCAGTTGCATCTCGTCCATTTGTATGGTATACAGACACAGTGGATCTTCCATTAGATCTTGCTTGGTGTGTGGCTGCCAGTCATATTGTGAAGGCAGAGGCAAGTATATGCACAGAAGGTCGTGAATTGGGGCTCTATGCACTTTTTTCAATGATATCGCCTACGGCTTCTGATTCAAATACTGTTGCTATTGCAGAAAATGAAGGAGAAATACGACGTTATGCGGTTAGTTGGTTTCAACACTGTTGGCGTAATACCTTCTTTGCGGAGGGAAAGAAGAAGAAGAAAAAAGATAATCATAATGACGATCCCTACAAGTATGAGAATAACTACAACACTGGTAGTAATACTCCAGAGCCTGATCCAACAAGACTTCTTCGAGGACTTTCCTCCGTTGGAGGTGGTCCACGTATCTCATTACATTATGAGATGAGAGAAAAAGGTGGTCATCTTTTCCATCGAAGAAAAAATAAATATGAGGTTTACACTGATGATGATACACCGGCGTTTACTTCTCAATCAACTGTTTTTCCATTCTCTCTTCTTATTGATGGAGATGAAGCGGAGAGTTTTATGGACTCCGATACCGTAAAGGAGTTAAGGACCATGACTGCTTTTTACGCCTTGAGTTTGCAAAAAATTAAAAGTTCTTCCACTGAGGCAGTCGTTCAAGAAATGTTACTAATGGAAGGTGATCAAATGGAGCATGAGGAAGATGTTACTGCGTTACTACAGAAACGACACGGATCGTTGTCTAGTGGCGATGCTTTTGCTGCCTGTCATCAAGTATCACGTTGTGTACTGGAGGATGTTTGGCGCTATCCTTGTTCATAGAAAATGACAGATCTCATAGAAGGGGAATAGAATGAAAAGATAAGTGAGTGTGACCGCGGAGTAAGTGGCTAAAAATGGAAAAAAAAAGTACGTCAAGATGGAGTCCGTTGGTAAAATGAGTGAACATACATTATATATATATATAGTGATTGAGAGTGGCTCTTTCTGTTTTTGTTTTCTTTACGAACTGGAAGGCTGACTATATTAATAATAATATTAATTAATAATAATAATATATTCCTTCAATTTGTATTATTTATTTATTTATTTCAATGTATGTGAACATCAATAAAAATAAAAATACACCAGTAATAGTCGTAGAGAAGAAGAACAAAGGCACCACACATCAAAAAAAAAAAAAAGAAGGCTGCTGTTATATCCCAATTCTCTTTCCATCTCTTTTCATAAAATGAACTCCGCGCCGTGGGATGAGGAGCCTGCGGTGATTCTTGACAACGGCAGTGGCAACATCAAGTGCGGCTTCGCCGGCGAGGAGGTTCCCCGCTTTGTCTTTCCCAACATCATTGCCACCCCCAAACAACGCCAGGGCCCCACGCCGGTGTACGTCGGCGACGACGCCTTGGCCCACACCCACACAGAAAGAGGCCTGCGCTACTCACATCCAATGGCGCACGGCATCGTGAGCGACTGGGACGCGATGGCGCGGGTGTGGACGCACGCCTACGACGCACTGCGGGCCGATCCCGCCGCGCAGGCCGTCCTGCTCACGGAGGCCCCGCACAATCCCACGCAGCACCGCGAGCAGATGGCAGCCGTGCTCTTTGAACACTTCGCCGTGCCCGCGCTGCAGGTGCAAATTCAAGCCGTTCTCGCCCTCTACGCGGCCGGGCGCACCGACGGACTTGTGCTCGACAGCGGCGACGGCGTCACGCACGTTGTGCCGATCGTCGAGGGACACGCCGTGACGCCGGCGGTGCGCCGCCTCGAACTCGCCGGCCGCGAGGTGACGGAGTGGATGATGGAACTGCTGAGTGATGAACTGCAGCGGCCCTTCACAACATCCGCAGACCGCGAGGTGGCACGAATGGTGAAGGAGCGGCTGTGCTACGTCGCCCAGTCCTTTGAAGAGGAACTGGAGAAGGCAGAGGCACAGGAAACATCAACCACAGCAGAGTCCTTTACATTGCCAGATGGGGAAACTATTAAGATCACGCGTTCACGTTTTTGTTGTCCGGAGATTCTCTTCACTCCAGCTATAGCGGAAAAACCTTATGAGAGTATTCAACGCACTATTGTAGATTCTGTGGAGGCCTGTCCAATTGATTTGCGGCGTCGACTTCTTAATAACGTTGTTCTTTCCGGTGGTAATACAATGTTTGGAGGAATGCAGCAGCGCCTTGAAAACGAACTTAAAGAATTAGTGAATAAACGTGCAGCAGAGGATGTGCATGTCGTTGCCGCGAATGAGCGTAAGTTTAGCGTTTGGATAGGTGCTGCTATTCTTGGTAGCCTAACCTCATTCTCTTCAGAGTGGATAACAAAGCAAGAGTATGAAGAAAATGGACCTTCTATATTACATAAAAGGTGTGATTCCCTTGCTTTTGTCTCTAAATGATCTATATTACTGAAGTAAAATGCATTTATTTATTTATTTATCGAAACTTTTACCACTCTTTTGCTTTTTTTTTTGTTATTATTGTCAAATTCTAACGTTATGATGAATAGACTATCTCTTTTTCTCCCATAGAATGTTTTTTTTTTCTTTTCGTTGGTTTTATGTATCCTCTCATGTTTTTTTTATTTTTTGTTACGGGGTTGCTATTACCATTTTTCTTTCTTTTTCTTTTTCTTGTTTTCTTTTGGTCTATAAAAGAAAGAAAAAGAGAGAGAGTGACTCTCTGTAGTCTTTTTTTTTTCTTTTTACTTGGTACTCTCTTTCTTTCTTGGTCTTGTTCTTGTTGGGATAAACGCTGCATGCACGGCGGTCCCTCTGTTGCCCCATCGGGCGATTCCGCTGAGAACATTTATAATCTTCTATGTGCTGTTCAAACACAAGCGAACAAAGACGCGGAGGAAATTAAATCGTTGCGTCTTTGCATTGCCAACTCTGAAAGTGATGTTATGAAAACACGCGAAGAAATCTGCAGGTTATCCCAACAGCAGGAAAAGGTGAATGAAGATATATCTGCAAAACGTCTCTCTCTTGAGGAACAGAAAATACGTCACGCGGGAGTTATGGAGATCCTGCAAAAGACCAAGAAAGAACTCACAGAAGTTGCCGATACCGTTATGAAGTCTGATCTGCCTATTCACGCAGCAGCAGCAGTGCAGAGTGTGGCCCCGCAGGAATCACAGGAGCCGTTGGCACCCGTGAAGCTTCGTGATGCCGTACAAAGTTTGAGGAAAAAGATTGAAATGGCAACTCAACAACAACAACAACAACAAC